CAGTGAATTGCATCTCTTTAGATTATGAACCAATCGATGGGTCTCTCTACAGCAGATTTCTTAAGATTTCAAACATGTAGAACAAAATAATAATCTTCAAAGTATCTGCTTCCTTAAGAGGAGCACAGTGGCTAAGTAGTGCTGTAATGTACATAGAGTTGCTTCCCTTAGTTATATCAGGATTGTACTTTTCATACTGACTGTGGTTCGTGGTGTGAAAGGTTCAAAACCATAGTTTCACCACAAGTCATTGTCTTGTGGTGCCGAGCTGTCTTCTTTCAGCTGATATATTATGATATTAACTTGATTAAACGACAAACAAAATAACGTCAATCTCATTCACTTACCCATCACCACAACCACTGATGTTATGCACTGGTGAATTTGCTATTCATTATTTTTTATTTTATTTTTTTCTCTCTCCTTGCCTCCTGTTGTCACTGCTGGTAAATATTTTCACATAACATGATCGCCAGTGTAAGTGGAGCTGCTACAAGTGTACAGGCAACATGTTGGTAGTGAAGAGTTGAGCTTCTATTCATATATGCAGACCTATTGAACCTACATCAGCAGTTGGTGGTGAGTCATAGGCAGATCAATTCCTGGAAACTCGCCTCGTGTGTATGTGTCACTATTGTGACTGGATCGCAGCAATCACACACAAACATCACAATGTCAGCAGGGGGGCCATCTTGTTTTTCCGCAGCCCTTTTCAGATTTAAACCTGGAGTCAGAGTTAAGACAACAATAGGTATAAAATTAAGCAAATACAGTGTTGGTAAGAAGCTAAAATATTAATTTATAACTGATTTTATGAAATGTTACAAGAAAGAGTTTTATTGCTTTTACATAAGAACAAAGGAAATCAGCGGAACCGTAAACCATGCAATAAAAACTATGTAACAGCTTACTGCAATTTTACATCATTTCAACTGTACTTGCTACGTCTTAGCCAACACTGAACAATTAGTTTGACGAACTGGTAAAATATTCTTGATGTGAAATGTTTAAAAAAATAAAAATCCTTAAAATGGAAGATACAACTTTATGGATAACAACTTCTTGTTTATTGCATAGAGCGATGTTTCGTGTAAGTTTTTAAACCGTTATCAAGCTGAAAGATGTTACAAAAACATACAAATGTTTATTTCTTGCAGAAAATAGAAAAATGTGGTTATCACTTGTGAGTGTGTTAAGAATAAGGGGTGGTGGGGTAGCCTAATGGTTAAAGCGTTGGCTCGTCACACCGAAGACCCGGGTTCGAATCCCCACATGGGTACAATGTGTGAAGCCCATTTCTGGTGTCCCCTGCCGTGATGTTGCTGGAATATTGCTAAAAGCGGCGTAAAACCAAACTCAGTCAGTCAGTCAGTGTTAAGAATAAACTTGGTACTTAGTGAGTCTTGATAGAAAAGGTCAGCACTATGTTTGTAAACACTGTACATTGTACCTACCTGACCGTCCTTATTTGCATATTTGCAAAATGACCCCGATTGATATGTTTTTCCCTGGTTTTATCCAGTCAAGAAACCTCCCTATTATATAATTATGTCTCCCCCTGAAGGGTCGGGGAGACAGATTGTTTTTGGTTGAGTTTCCATCGGCGTTGGCGTTGGCATTCCCATTGTTTCCGGAACATAACTCTGAAACTTCTGAACAATCTTCACCAAATTTGGTATACTGCCTCTCCATATCATGTAGATGTGCGTTTTGGGGGTTGAACTTTTCTTTCAATTATATTTTTTTCTGTTTCAATTATTTTTTTCTGTTGAGGTCTCAACGTTGAATTGGGGGAAGGGGGAGACATCTGTTTTTATGAGTAAAAACACTTTCTAGTTTATATAGATGTCCCTTGTCCATTCCTTGAAAACAACCAGAATAAGATGTAATGTATGTTAAGGTCACACTCTATAATTGATTATTCCATTTTCACATGAACTTGACAATTGGAGCCTGTACTATATTTGGAGATGTACTTTATTTATGAGTGTAATTGACTGTTTAGAAACGAACTCATTTTCTGTTACAGAGAAAAGTCATATAAGGAAATTTGAGATAAGTGTTTAATAAAAACAATTTCTAAAAGCGAAAGTGAAAAATCGAGAAATGAGTGAATTATCAAGTGATGTATCCTGTGCTACACTTTAAACTGACAGTTTATGAAGCAAATATATTGAAATTACTAATGTGTTAATCTTCCATTAAAATGTTGATAGGAGCTCATTTTACGATAATGTTCTGAAGCACTTTCCAGGGCTGTTATTTTATCATCATCTTTCCTAATGGGCATTTTGTCCCCAATATTTGGGAAAACATCAAGAGTGACAGTTTAGTAATGTTAAATATTCATGAAGTATTGTAGATTGAAATGCTGCCATGTTGTATCGTGCTGAGCCCAGCTGGTAGGCTTCATTTAAATAATGGCATTGTTGGGGCTGTTTGCTTTACCAACTCACCAGAATGTCAATAATCGGCACTTCATACATCATATTGTGTTTTTTTAGTTGATATGATGTTGGATATGCAATAAGAGCGGGGGTGGGGAGCAGGGGAGAATGTTATTTCAAATCCTTAAGGTATTGATGCTTATTGTGCGAAGTGAAGTTAAAAAACTGTAATGCCAAATTCTATGTTAGTTTTTTGGGTTGCATTTACGTGAAATGGTATGATAACCACTTTATTACTTAATTTGTGTTTGTATGATGGGGGAATAAAGGAGTAGTAAAAGAATATGGAATCATTAACTTTAAAATTAGCTTTGTTTATATATACGAATATACTTTTTCAAATTCTTTTTTTTTTTTTTTTTCGTTATTTTTTTGTTTGAAATGTTTCATTACGGCAAAACTGTATTTGGATACAATGTGGGACAGCTGTATTGGTAGTCTAAGGGAGATAACTCTGTGGTACGTTTGTCTGGAACAATTCAGCTGTTTAATGCTGGTCTTAACCAGAATGTGGATGGTGCTGGACACAAAGCAGCTCCTGTGTTACTGGGACTTCCATCCTGTCTCACACTGAACACATCACATGGGCTGTGTCCTCATACAGCAGACATTGGGTTTAAATATGCATCACCCAGCAGTTAATGGGTAGCAGGAGAATGTTACGTGACTGTTAGCATTCTAGAGACTTATATTTCTAAGAATGAAATTCAAGCACACACTGATTAAAAACTGGAGTAGTAATAGTGCAGTGGCATGAGTACACACTTGGTGATTGGTACTGGACACAAAAATGGAATTATTATTATTGCTGTTGTCTGTTGATCCTTGTTGTTTATGTTGTTCATCATTGTGAAAGGAAGGCATTACACGGCATGTATTACACAGGAGGTATTACACGGAAGGTATTACACGGGAGGTAGAGGTATCCCACGGAAGGTATTCCACGGAAGGTATTACACGGCATGATCAAACAATCCACATGTTAGGGTGGCATGCCTTGCTGGATTTATACTGTTACGTAGCTTCTGGTGTTTTTAGGGGTATACTATTATGTTTAGTTAATACCTTCTGACAATGTTTATTACATTGAGTCAATGATACCAAAGACAATATGACAGACTTATTATATGGTCTCTGATGATACATTACAAAATAAGTGTTCATGGCAGACAAATAAAAATGTACTTGTGCACACATAGTGTACAGTTTGATTCACAAAGTACACCTGGGCATACAGATATTAAACTGGGTATTAGCAGTCTTGATGAAAGGGAAGACCAAACAAATAATCTGATTGAGCTCAGATGAAATGGACGCCATTGTTTAGATAGACTGAGCTTGTCTAAAAGGCAAACATTTCACTAATACATTTTTATGCATCAAAATTTCATCTTGTGGGATTAATTGAATTACAAAGAGCACTGCTAAATGTCTTAATGAGTCCTGATGCAGCTCATGTAAGACATCAGGGAGGTGGGGTTGCTTGTAGTTAAAGCATTTGCGCGTCACGCCAAAGACCCGGTTTCAATTCCCCACATGTCAATGTGTGAAGCCCATTTGTGGTGTCCCCGCCATGATATTGCTGGAATATTGCTAAAAGTGGCATAAAACTATACTCACTCACTTACTAATTTTAAACATCAGTCATCTATATTTTGACAAGGTCACACATATATGATGTATAGAATATGGTGAAAGTGGTAGTCCACAAGGAAATGGCTCTGTTCTTGTTCCATGGTACTTGGTGGCAGACTGATGGTAAATTAAACTCTGATTTATGGTCCCTGCAATAGGACAATTGTTTGTTTTAGGGGAATCATATTTCACTCCAATTTGTGGCCACCAGAACAATGTTTGATTGCAGTGTTTCTGTTTGACGCTGGAGAGCTGAGATTGAGGAGACAGAGTATGCTGTTTATATCCCCAGATTATGAGTTTTGGACACTTTAGTACATCCGTTGTGTTCTCGTTAATCCCATTAACAATTGTAAAACATGTCACTAACTTATAAAAGACAACTTTATTTTGAACACAAGTCATCATCTGAATGTTTACAATGTCTCTCTGACGCAACCCATCTGGTTATAGCACAAGTAAACAATGCCATCGGAAAATGTATGACGTCCGAAAACATATAATCTGGCAATAATTGTCTGGCAAATGTTTAGTTTTGTATGGTCTAGTTTGCTATTGGAGCAATATTTAATGGAATTATGTCCATTCCCTTGAATGTATGAGATCAACTTGCCACTTTGTTACTCTGTTGATGTGTGGTGTTTTCATTACACAGTAAATAGCTTCTTCTAATGCTGGATGAAAGTAGGACAAAAGCATTAAAAAAACTCTAGAATGGAAGTCCAACAACATTGCTGTATATTTAGTCTCACTAACCTGTGACTAACCCAGGTACCTTGTATCTTGTATGAAGGGGCATCATGGGATATCGTGCTACATGTACCTAATACATGTGATACATATAACTATAGTTGGATCTGTTTTTACATAAAATCTTCTGTGTTAAACTGTGGTTGATGTAAAGTTGTTGTGTTGCAGGACTCTGGGTGGGTGTATGGACGAGAACGCCCACTGTTACACCCTGGAGGTGTCGTTCTTCAGCTACCAGACCAGCACCACTGGGCAAGCCATGCCGTACACAGAGGAGGGCTGTATCCTTCACGACGGGGGCAGGGAGGGTAGCTTCATCCATTGTCACCCAGCTGTAGATATAGTTCATGGAGGATGAGTACTTCACGAATAGTCTAGTCTGGACATTCCTTTTAGTTTCAAAAGGCTTCCACACTAACCAGCGGCATCTTCTTCTATGGGAGTAATGTATGGAAGACTAACCCCCCAATACTGTATGCTTGTCAGAACAGCTATGACTGAAGATCAGGTGGTCTTCTATAGGAGTAATGTATGGAAGACTAACCCCTCAATACTGTATGCTTGTCAGAACAGCTATGACTGAAGATCAGGTGGTCTTCTATAGGAGTAATGTATGGAAGACTAACCCCTCAATACTGTATGCTTGTCAGAACAGCTATGACTGAAGATCAGGTGGTCTTCTATAGGAGTAATGTATGGAAGACTAACCCCTCAATACTGTATGCTTGTCAGAACAGCTATGACTGAAGATCAGGTGGTCTTCTATAGGAGTAATGTATGGAAGACTAACCCCTCAATACTGTATGCTTGTCAGAACAGCTATGACTGAAGATCAAGGTGGTCTTCTATAGGAGTAATGTATGGAAGACTAACCCCTCAATACTGTATGCTTGTCAGAACAGCTATGACTGAAGATCAAGTGGTCTTCTATAGGAGTAATGTATGGAAGACTAACCCCTCAATACTGTATGCTTGTCAGAACAGCTATGACTGAAGATCAAGTGGTCTTCTATAGGAGTAATGTATGGAAGACTAACCCCTCAATACTGTATGCTTGTCAGAACAGCTATGACTGAAGATCAGGTGGTCTTCTATAGGAGTAATGTATGGAAGACTAACCCTCAATACTGTATGCTTGTCAGAACAGCTATGACTGAAGATCAGGTGGTCTTCTATAGGAGTAATGTATGGAAGACTAACCCCTCAATACTGTATGCTTGTCAGAACAGCTATGACTGAAGATCAGGTGGTCTTCTATAGGAGTAATGTATGGAAGACTAACCCCTCAATACTGTATGCTTGTCAGAACAGCTATGACTGAAGATCAGTGGTCTTCTATAGGAGTAATGTATGGAAGACTAACCCCTCAATACTGTATGCTTGTCAGAACAGCTATGACTGAAGATCAGGTGGTCTTCTATAGGAGTAATGTATGGAAGACTAACCCCTCAATACTGTATGCTTGTCAGAACAGCTATGACTGACTGAAGATCAAGTGGTCTTCTATAGGAGTAATGTATGGAAGACTAACCCCTCAATACTGTATGCTTGTCAGAACAGCTATGACTGAAGATCAAGTGGTCTTCTATAGGAGTAATGTATGGAAGACTAACCCCTCAATACTGTATGCTTGTCAGAACAGCTATGACTGAAGATCAAGTGGTCTTCTATAGGAGTAATGTATGGAAGACTAACCCCTCAATACTGTATGCTTGTCAGAACAGCTATGACTGAAGATCAAGTGGTCTTCTATAGGAGTAATGTATGGAAGACTAACCCCTCAATACTGTATGCTTGTCAGAACAGCTATGACTGAAGATCAGGTGGTCTTCTATAGGAGTAATGTATGGAAGACTAACCCCTCAATACTGTATGCTTGTCAGAACAGCTATGACTGAAGATCAAGTGGTCTTCTATAGGAGTAATGTATGGAAGACTAACCCCTCAATACTGTATGCTTGTCAGAACAGCTATGACTGAAGATCAGGTGGTCTTCTATAGGAGTAATGTATGGAAGACTAACCCCTCAATACTGTATGCTTGTCAGAACAGCTATGACTGAAGATCAAGTGGTCTTCTATAGGAGTAATGTATGGAAGACTAACCCCTCAATACTGTATGCTTGTCAGAACAGCTATGACTGAAGATCAAGTGGTCTTCTATAGGAGTAATGTATGGAAGACTAACCCCTCAATACTGTATGCTTGTCAGAACAGCTATGACTGAAGATCAGGTGGTCTTCTATAGGAGTAATGTATGGAAGACTAACCCCTCAATACTGTATGCTTGTCAGAACAGCTATGACTGAAGATCAGGTGGTCTTCTATAGGAGTAATGTATGGAAGACTAACCCCTCAATACTGTATGCTTGTCAGAACAGCTATGACTGAAGATCAGGTGGTCTTCTATAGGAGTAATGTATGGAAGACTAACCCCTCAATACTGTATGCTTGTCAGAACAGCTATGACTGAAGATCAGGTGGTCTTCTATAGGAGTAATGTATGGAAGACTAACCCCTAATGTATGGAAGACTAACCCCTCAATACTGTATGCTTGTCAGAACAGCTATGACTGAAGATCAAGTGGTCTTCTATAGGAGTAATGTATGGAAGACTAACCCCTCAATACTGTATGCTTGTCAGAACAGCTATGACTGAAGATCAAGTGGTCTTCTATAGGAGTAATGTATGGAAGACTAACCCCTCAATACTGTATGCTTGTCAGAACAGCTATGACTGAAGATCAAGTGGTCTTCTATAGGAGTAATGTATGGAAGACTAACCCCTCAATACTGTATGCTTGTCAGAACAGCTATGACTGAAGATCAGGTGGTCTTCTATAGGAGTAATGTATGGAAGACTAACCCCTCAATACTGTATGCTTGTCAGAACAGCTATGACTGAAGATCAGGTGGTCTTCTATAGGAGTAATGTATGGAAGACTAACCCCTCAATACTGTATGCTTGTCAGAACAGCTATGACTGAAGATCAGGTGGTCTTCTATAGGAGTAATGTATGGAAGACTAACCCCTCAATACTGTATGCTTGTCAGAACAGCTATGACTGAAGATCAGGTGGTCTTCTATAGGAGTAATGTATGGAAGACTAACCCCTCAATACTGTATGCTTGTCAGAACAGCTATGACTGAAGATCAAGTGGTCTTCTATAGGAGTAATGTATGGAAGACTAACCCCTCAATACTGTATGCTTGTCAGAACAGCTATGACTGAAGATCAAGTGGTCTTCTATAGGAGTAATGTATGGAAGACTAACCCCTCAATACTGTATGCTTGTCAGAACAGCTATGACTGAAGATCAGGTGGTCTTCTATAGGAGTAATGTATGGAAGACTAACCCCTCAATACTGTATGCTTGTCAGAACAGCTATGACTGAAGATCAAGTGGTCTTCTATAGGAGTAATGTATGGAAGACTAACCCCTCAATACTGTATGCTTGTCAGAACAGCTATGACTGAAGATCAGGTGGTCTTCTATAGGAGTAATGTATGGAAGACTAACCCCTCAATACTGTATGCTTGTCAGAACAGCTATGACTGAAGATCAAGTGGTCTTCTATAGGAGTAATGTATGGAAGACTAACCCCTCAATACTGTATGCTTGTCAGAACAGCTATGACTGAAGATCAGGTGGTCTTCTATAGGAGTAATGTATGGAAGACTAACCCCTCAATACTGTATGCTTGTCAGAACAGCTATGACTGAAGATCAAGTGGTCTTCTATAGGAGTAATGTATGGAAGACTAACCCCTCAATACTGTATGCTTGTCAGAACAGCTATGACTGAAGATCAGGTGGTCTTCTATAGGAGTAATGTATGGAAGACTAACCCCTCAATACTGTATGCTTGTCAGAACAGCTATGACTGAAGATCAAGTGGTCTTCTATAGGAGTAATGTATGGAAGACTAACCCCTCAATACTGTATGCTTGTCAGAACAGCTATGACTGAAGATCAGGTGGTCTTCTATAGGAGTAATGTATGGAAGACTAACCCCTCAATACTGTATGCTTGTCAGAACAGCTATGACTGAAGATCAAGTGGTCTTCTATAGGAGTAATGTATGGAAGACTAACCCCTCAATACTGTATGCTTGTCAGAACAGCTATGACTGAAGATCAGGTGGTCTTCTATAGGAGTAATGTATGGAAGACTAACCCCTCAATACTGTATGCTTGTCAGAACAGCTATGACTGAAGATCTGAAGGTGGTCTTCTATAGGAGTAATGTATGGAAGACTAACCCCTCAATACTGTATGCTTGTCAGAACAGCTATGACTGAAGATCAGGTGGTCTTCTATAGGAGTAATGTATGGAAGACTAACCCCTCAATACTGTATGCTTGTCAGAACAGCTATGACTGAAGATCAGGTGGTCTTCTATAGGAGTAATGTATGGAAGACTAACCCCTCAATACTGTATGCTTGTCAGAACAGCTATGACTGAAGATCAAGTGGTCTTCTATAGGAGTAATGTATGGAAGACTAACCCCTCAATACTGTATGCTTGTCAGAACAGCTATGACTGAAGATCAGGTGGTCTTCTATAGGAGTAATGTATGGAAGACTAACCCCTCAATACTGTATGCTTGTCAGAACAGCTATGACTGAAGATCAAGTGGTCTTCTATAGGAGTAATGTATGGAAGACTAACCCCTCAATACTGTATGCTTGTCAGAACAGCTATGACTGAAGATCAAGTGGTCTTCTATAGGAGTAATGTATGGAAGACTAACCCCTCAATACTGTATGCTTGTCAGAACAGCTATGACTGAAGATCAAGTGGTCTTCTATAGGAGTAATGTATGGAAGACTAACCCCTCAATACTGTATGCTTGTCAGAACAGCTATGACTGAAGATCAGGTGGTCTTCTATAGGAGTAATGTATGGAAGACTAACCCCTCAATACTGTATGCTTGTCAGAACAGCTATGACTGAAGATCAAGTGGTCTTCTATAGGAGTAATGTATGGAAGACTAACCCCTCAATACTGTATGCTTGTCAGAACAGCTATGACTGAAGATCAGGTGGTCTTCTATAGGAGTAATGTATGGAAGACTAACCCCTCAATACTGTATGCTTGTCAGAACAATACTGTATGCTTGTCAGAACAGCTATGACTGAAGATCAAGTGGTCTTCTATAGGAGTAATGTATGGAAGACTAACCCCTCAATACTGTATGCTTGTCAGAACAGCTATGACTGAAGATCAAGTGGTCTTCTATAGGAGTAATGTATGGAAGACTAACCCCTCAATACTGTATGCTTGTCAGAACAGCTATGACTGAAGATCAGGTGGTCTTCTATAGGAGTAATGTATGGAAGACTAACCCCTCAATACTGTATGCTTGTCAGAACAGCTATGACTGAAGATCAGGTGGTCTTCTATAGGAGTAATGTATGGAAGACTAACCCCTCAATACTGTATGCTTGTCAGAACAGCTATGACTGAAGATCAAGTGGTCTTCTATAGGAGTAATGTATGGAAGACTAACCCCTCAATACTGTATGCTTGTCAGAACAGCTATGACTGAAGATCAGGTGGTCTTCTATAGGAGTAATGTATGGAAGACTAACCCCTCAATACTGTATGCTTGTCAGAACAGCTATGACTGAAGATCAAGTGGTCTTCTATAGGAGTAATGTATGGAAGACTAACCCCTCAATACTGTATGCTTGTCAGAACAGCTATGACTGAAGATCAGGTGGTCTTCTATAGGAGTAATGTATGGAAGACTAACCCCTCAATACTGTATGCTTGTCAGAACAGCTATGACTGAAGATCAGGTGGTCTTCTATAGGAGTAATGTATGGAAGACTAACCCCTCAATACTGTATGCTTGTCAGAACAGCTATGACTGAAGATCAGGTGGTCTTCTATAGGAGTAATGTATGGAAGACTAACCCCTCAATACTGTATGCTTGTCAGAACAGCTATGACTGAAGATCAAGTGGTCTTCTATAGGAGTAATGTATGGAAGACTAACCCCTCAATACTGTATGCTTGTCAGAACAGCTATGACTGAAGATCAGGTGGTCTTCTATAGGAGTAATGTATGGAAGACTAACCCCTCAATACTGTATGCTTGTCAGAACAGCTATGACTGAAGATCAAGTGGTCTTCTATAGGAGTAATGTATGGAAGACTAACCCCTCAATACTGTATGCTTGTCAGAACAGCTATGACTGAAGATCAGGTGGTCTTCTATAGGAGTAATGTATGGAAGACTAACCCCTCAATACTGTATGCTTGTCAGAACAGCTATGACTGAAGATCAGGTGGTCTTCTATAGGAGTAATGTATGGAAGACTAACCCCTCAATACTGTATGCTTGTCAGAACAGCTATGACTGAAGATCAGGTGGTCTTCTATAGGAGTAATGTATGGAAGACTAACCCCTCAATACTGTATGCTTGTCAGAACAGCTATGACTGAAGAGATCAGTGGTCTTCTATAGGAGTAATGTATGGAAGACTAACCCCTCAATACTGTATGCTTGTCAGAACAGCTATGACTGAAGATCAAGTGGTCTTCTATAGGAGTAATGTATGGAAGACTAACCCCTCAATACTGTATGCTTGTCAGAACAGCTATGACTGAAGATCAGGTGGTCTTCTATAGGAGTAATGTATGGAAGACTAACCCCTCAATACTGTATGCTTGTCAGAACAGCTATGACTGAAGATCAGGTGGTCTTCTATAGGAGTAATGTATGGAAGACTAACCCCTCAATACAGTAAAGCTTGTCAGAACAGCTATGACTCAAGTTGTCAGGTAGACTGAGTGTCATGCATTGTGAATGCTGTCATGCATTGTGAATGCATTGATTGTTCTTCAGGGACTATTTCCTGGAGTGCCTGGTCCAGATTTGACCAGACCCGAGATAGCTGGAATACTGCTGACTCAGGTGTATAACAACATTCTCTCACTCACTCAATGGCCGAAAGTTAGAGAGGCTAGCCAACATACTATACACACCTCATTGTCATGGCTCACAGAGGTCTCAGATGTGACAGTCGGGTATTGAAAAACTCAAATTTGAATCTGCCTTGAAAAGGGCTTAAAATTCTGTTTGTGGTGAAATGAAAATGATTGTGAATAATGCATGATTATGAAACAGACTTGTACCAGAGCCATATAATAATTTAGCATTGAAACTCTTGTGGCTTGATATGAATAGTAGTGTTCTTGGATGTTTTAGTCATGTTTGGGTCTTGTTAGCACTGAGAAGTTTCTGGATTGCCTTGAAAATGCCTTACATAAAATTACTCCTGTGTGTGAACCTATCCTGCATGTATAAAACTTCTATGAATCTTGTGGTTGTGAGTGTTGAAACACAGGCATGGATTTGAGGAATCCTTGTCATTACCTATCTGTTGAAAAGGGGTCCCCTGGATTGAAATCCAGAGCAACAAACCACAAGAACCCAGGAATGTCTTGCCAACGCACCCTAACATCCCCCAACCCCACATCACCCCACACTCTCAAACTGATCAGGAAGTGTACTGTTGATGAGTTGAAATTGAATTGACAGTATGTTCATCCAAGTTCCCTGTGATGGAGAAACAGATGTGGATCTGGTGCTTATTTGAGTCAATGAGAATCTGACATGATTGATGTCTTCAATGGAGATACATTCATTCCACTTGTCGTTGGAAAACATTACGTAGGTCGGGATTTTAGAAAGGATTCATGAAGAATTAAAATGTCAGAAGTTCTCTTCAGAATGAAAGAAACGCTTTGGTGTTATTGTCATTTAATGACAACAGTTCAAGCCTGTCATCTTCCCCAGCCTAGATGATGGTGAGGCATAGTTTATACCTTAATGGCAGTCTATCATAGGGCACTCAAAAACATAATGGCCTATTACCGAAACATAACTGGCCATTAAATTATGAATATTATACACAGAAGGAGAATATAGCAGTGTTTAAATTGTTCATCTAAAACATTGTCAGCTTCAGTCTATATCTAATCCTTTTGAATTGTCTATGGCCCACCTGACATGTATGCCTGGTTCTCTATTTCTACAGATAGCAGATGATCAGATCATATGGACAATGAGTAATTTGGACATAAAAATTGGCAAAATAAGTATCTGATCGTTACAATGTCAGCTTGATACTTATATTGATTTAGTGTTCCTCTTCCTTTCCTTACCCCCCAACCCCCACCCCCAGATCCAAAACGGGCATAATTTCATAAGGGGCACCCCTATTCCTATTATTTCACTGAACTTCAACATGACATAGAAAATATAAACAACCAAGTGTTAATTAAGAAATACAGTTCGCTCTACCACCATGTATAGTGCAATAAAGCACACTTTCGCCCTGAACGAAGCACAAGGACCATACGTTAAGACAAACGTTACCAGAAAAGAAAAATGATAAACAGTTTGATGACGGTTTACGGTCTCTAAATTATTTTAATTACATCTGTGCTTAAGGTAAACCATATGGGGCAATATGAACGTCACATTTCTACTACCAACGTAAGTTTAGATCAGTACATCCAGATGAAGCTGACTAGTCAAGCAACAATCCCCGATTGCATTGTGGGAATGTAAACATTGCGAACGTTACCATGTCGCTGTAAAATTGTGAGTCGAACTGAGACATTTTATCTGTCGGAAAACATAAACGTAATGTTTCCACCAGTGATGTTAGCTGCGTGAAACAACCGCAAACCAAGAAACAGGGTGCAAAGGCGTAGTTTACTGTAGGAGGCTGTACGAGGCGATGACAACTGACATGCATCGTGACGTCGGTTACATTGTGACGTAATGCAAAAGTGTTCGATTACGAGGGGCAGACTAGAATGGCGCAGTGATGCCAATACATTGTGGCCTAATGCAAAAAGTGCACATTATCATCTGATAAAGTACTGTCGGCCCCTTTGATCTTTCACCGAATCATCTTAGAATATCAATTATTGTATTAAAAGACGGGCAGGGCGCCAAACAACTAGGGCAGGGCACTGTGCCCTGCTTAAATGCCTAGGGGAAGCATTATGATTACTTATCAATGTTTGCTTATGTTGATTAATGTTCAAAGTCGAGGCAAAAGTTGTCCAGTTGTCTATGGAAATAAATTAAAATTAACTACTTGCAATACATCCCAGTCAACATCAATCTGTATTTAATCTACATGAGAGTTTGAGCTTAGTACCATTACGTATATGGACCTTGACTCTGTTGAGATATGAAGCTAGGGCGAAACCTGGCAAGGACATTCCTGGACTACTACAAGCTGATCGGCTACATCAGTGCCAAGCCCAGCAGCAGCATCGTCCCCAAGCCAGGGATGTACCGGCACCGTGAGCGCCAGAACAATGACAGAGCAGTGTCAGAACCAAACGGGCGGAACCCCCTGGACGACACCAGGTACTACAGCCAAAGGTAGCTAGATGGACAAATTGAAATTTACAATCCTGGAAATATAGATTGATGTGGAATAGGATGAAGTAGCAAATGACTGGATGAACCAAGGTGTGTGGTAGCCAACTGTCTCTTATCCTAGTGCATCCTAGCATCACAAGTGTTGTCTCAGAATTCCACTTCAGGTTATTCTCCAACATCAAGTAAAACAACTTGTTACAACTTAGTTACTTGTCAGGACAATGTACAGCTTATAAAATCTTATGCTAAATCACCAGAGGAACATGTACCACTTTTCAGGTTAGAATAATTATTTGTGGAATAATTTTCCCTTTTTTAATATATTTCATGCTTATGTCTTTATCATTATCAAGAATATCCCAGTGTCTAATTTGACAATTCTGTCTTTATTTGGTAGATACGGTGATAAATCTAGTCGAGAAGAGAAGGGCTCCCGGCGAGGTGCCGACTACTCCATCAACAGCAGCAGCAGCGCCTTCTCCGACACGCCCACGTCCATCAGGCTACAACTAAAGGAGAGAGATCGCAGATTCTGATCTGTGTATGAAATATAACCATAATACATAATTAATCAAAATCCTTGAAGGAGATCCTGTATGTTAGCTTCAGGTGGTCATTCCATTGTTCACAATCAACTGGGATGTAATATTGTAATGACGAGTACAGATAGGTACCCATCATGTCGTTATCCATTCCACTGTCACCACGGTGATGGGAAATAGGTGACATGTGAGCTGAAAGTGACATTTGAGTGGCAGCAATGTATGAGTGTCAATTTCAAGTGTGGGAATGTCAGTGTTATTAGTAAGAGGATGCAGGATCAATGGCTGATGGCCATCCGCTGTCTACAACCCTGATGACTTGGACTTACACAAACATAAGACCTGCTTCTGTGTGGTGAAGCCGATGCTGCCTGCTGTATAGATGTATGGGAGTGATATTGTATCGGAATATGCATGGACTAGATATGCACTAGTGACACTGAGCCAGGAATACTGGACGTGGTCAGGGATCTTCATACAAATAGGTTTTTGAAGCTGGAGGATACTAGGTAATGAATAGCAAGTGGTTCCTGACTGGAAGGATTTCCAACATAGAACTGTTAGCCTTCCGATTCAGATTGAACACCCTTTCATGTTTCAAATTAGTATTAATCTTGAAATCTTTCAGAGAAGAGGTATCATAAAATAGTTTTACAAATATTGCTGTCCTGAAGGGCAGACTGATTCAGGTATTTAATGTGACAGAGACTTAGTGTGATCTTCTGTGAACAGATGAAGAGGAGTTTCATTCAATGTCCAAACTGATGTAACCTGAGCTGTGGACCTTCACCTTCGAAACAGTTGAAGATCAATGTTACCAGACCTGTTGACCTTCACTTTCAGAACAGTAGAAGATCAAGGTCACAAGGACTATTGACCTTCATGTCAGAATTTGTGAAGACTGAAAGGCCCAAGATAGAAATTTAAACGTTCAAAGTGATTTCAGTTATGAAGTAAATCAAATTATGATCATGGAAATATTTGTTAATCAGATATTCTCCCTGGAAGAGGTTTTATCTTCATCCAAATCTAAACCTTTTAATTATACCATCATGCCTCACACTCACACAGAATTTACTTAAGGTGACATAAGTCAGCATAGATACTCTTTTTAGAAAGAATTTTAGTAACTTTTGTCTCATTGTAGATTTTATTTTTCTATTATATTTTTAGAATTTTGTTGCCATTCTTGTACAAATCTGTATTGCTTTTGAGTACAACTGCTGGTAGCTTGATGGGCTGGCGGCATGACACAACCAGAAGATGAGTCACCACCATGTCATCCCATGTTGGTCTCACACAACACCAGGAAGTACAGGTCTCTTTCACATTGTAGAGAAGCCCCCAGTGTCACAGAACCCTTGCCGCTATGTACACAGGGTTTAAAGGCAGTATAGTCTAGATATTTTAAGCACACTTCGGTAAAAAAATTTTAGCTCCTCATAAATAAATATTTATCATTGTCAATTGATTTTAAAGTATGCTAAAGATACACCAATATTTGTTATGTTAAATAATATTGACAACAATGAACATGAATAAAATTAGAATGGAAAATCCTGTATACAAATATTATGAAATATACTCACGGAAATGAATAAGGGAACACCTGAAAGTACAAGTGTTCCTTTATTCTTTTCCAGGTTTCTTCACAAGCTGTGTATTGCACTGTGGGCGTAATTCTGGAAACGAATAAAGGAACACTTGTACTTTCATGTGTTACCTTATTTGTTTCCATGAGTATATTTTAAGCTTATATTATAGTTTATCATAATACATTTGCTAAAATGTGTGTACATAAGCATGACCGTATGTTGGTAGCCAGTATGCCTGCCATCCCTACAGCTGGAACCATCATGGTAGTGGTTGTGATAGTCCAGCACATGGTGTGTTGTTCAAATATTGATCACAGAGGAACAACATGTTATTCTTGAATATTCCTCTCAGGATGTGCCAACAGAATGTTATATTTCATTGTTTTACCCATGACTTTCGCTCGACTGTCCGTCCACTTTTAGAAAGCTTATATTGTTTTACAGCTTTTGTTTTTAATATTGCATTATGTTTTAAATGTGTATATGACTCGACTGCATAATCTTTACAAGTTTATTTTTCATGCAGGTTGAATATTCATACTCATATCAAATAGAAGCCTTTGAGGTTTTCTTTTAAGACTAAGAGTCCCACAGGTACCTTGTTTTTCTTCACGTTTTGGGTAAATAATGAGAATATGAAAATACAGTGGAATAAAAAGTAAGACGTATGTATTATTCTTGATATTCTTCTCACCGAGGTAGGAGGGTGACAGAAAAGAGTCTGATGTGTCTTTGCGGTGAGGAATACTGAATAAAGGATTATCTCTTGGGTCATTTTTCTGGACATGAAAGAATTATTGCGATATTTCTTTTTCTAAACAGTCAGCAGGACAAGACATATTCCAAGAGGTGATACACATTATCTGTCAAGGATGCTGATGTAGTCGGTTTCCGACACCATCCCAATTATTTATTTATGGTTTCATTGGCTGATCAGGCGAGATGTCTGCATGGAAACTACATTACAGGCAGAGATTATTGAATAAGCAACAAATCTAGAGTTTTTGACACTAACAGGAAAACATATTTGGATGGGGGACCTGTTTGACCTGCCGGGGATTCAGATGTGACTCTGTGAAAATTATGGCAGACACAAGTCATCAAGAGTCAGACATCGTAACTTTTGTTTCCACAATTTCTTGAAGTATTTACATCTGAAATTGCTGCTGTTTACCGAGCGTGCTACGGGTTTATGGAATTAGTTTTGTTGCACTGAACTTTAAGTTTATGAGTCTGATGTCAAGGGATGGGTTTTACGATATACAGACGAAGGCTTAGACCAGCTGATGAAGCACTGCACAGACACACTATGTTCAGGGGTGATTCTTTATTGTCGTTTTGGGGGTGGATATTTCAGTATTTCAAGAAAGGTCATTTTTTATTTTGAATTAGGAGAAGAGATTTTTCTATATAGACTATTTGGCTCTGGGTTTCATCTTTTTTCTTGTTTTAAGGAGATGTGATGAGGTTTATGAAAACTGTTTTGTCAGTTGTGGCCATAGATTGAATGATTTGTCATTACAGACATAAGACACAACTCTGTAATTCACATATTGCAGTACACAGTATATCTCAGTGAATGTTCAAATGTTGATGTGTTGAAATGTGATATATCATGTGATGTGTTTTCAAAATAATATGTGTATTGTTTTTCAAATGACCTCAGTATCAATGAAATAGAAAACCATATGAACCTCTAACTGGCGTTGTCTCATATATATATGAATTATTAGATTTTCACCCAAATGTTTAATAGTTGATACAAAATGTTCAAGACATCTGTGTATATTAATATTGACAAATGTGATTCACATATTGCTTGAATGCTTCATAGGACTACATATACAGAGTATTTCATAAAGTGGAGAATGGAACATTCGTTTACTATACAGTATCATCATGTGGGTAGGGATCGGACTGGGTGTTTGGTTGTGTGGCAGCAAGGTGGGGAGTTTGGTAGTGGGGAGGTGCAGAGAGTTTGGTAGTGGGGAGGTTCAGGAGGAGTTTGGTGGGTGGGGTTCAGGGAGTTGGAGTGAGGAGGTGCAGGAGTTTGGTTTGGTAGTGGAGGAGGTTCAGGGAGGAGTTTGAGGAGGGTTGCAGGGAGTTTGGAGTGGAGGAGGCAGTTTGGGAGTTTGGTAGTGAGGGAGGTGCAGGGGAGTTTGGTAGTGGGGAGGTTCAGGGGAGTTTGGTAGAGGAGGTGCAGGGAGTTTGGAGTGAGGAGGTGCAGGAGTTTGGAGGAGGTGCAGGGAGTTTGGTAGTGAGGAGGTTCAGGGAGTTTGGTAGTGAGGGAGGGGTGCAGGGAGTTTGGTAGTGGGGAGGTTCAGGGAGTTTTGCAGTGGGAGGTGAGGAGGAGGAGGTTTGGTGAGTGCAGGAGTTTGTGGGAGAGTGGGGAGTTGCAGGGGAGTGCAGGGGTGCAGTGAGGAGGTGCAGGAGTTTGAGTGGGAGGTGCAGGGAGTTTGAGGAGGTGCAGGGAGTTTGAGGGAGGAGTTTGGTAGTGAGAGGTGCAGAGAGTTTGGTAGTGGGGAGGTTCAGGGAGTTTGGTAGTGAGGAGGTGCAGAGGGAGTTTTAGTGGGGAGGTGAGGAGGAGGGAGGTGCAGGTTCAGGGAGTTTGGTGAGAGGGGAGGCAGGGAGTTTGGTAGTGGGGAGGTCAGGGAGTTTGGTAGTGGGAGGTTCAGGGAGTTTGGTAGTGAGGAGGTGCAGAGGAGTTTGAGGGAGGAGGAGAGTGCAGGGAGTTTGGTAGTGAGGAGGTGCAGGGGAGTTTGAAGTGAGGAGGTACAGTAGTGGGTTTGAGTTTGGTGAGTGAGGAGGTGCAGGAGTTTGGTAGTGGGGAGGTGCAGGGGAGTTTGGTAGTGAGGAGGTAGTGAGGAGGTTCAAGGGGAGGGTAGTGAGGAGGTGCAGGAGTTTGGTAGTGAGGAGGAGGGACAGGGGAGGTTCAGGGAGTTTGAGGAGGTGAGGGAGCAGGGAGTTTGGTAGTGAGGAGGTGCAGGGGAGTTTTGAGGAGTGAGGAGGAGTGCAGAGAGTTTGGTAGTGAGTGAGGAGGTGCAGGGAGTTTGGTAGTGTGGTTTGGTAGTCAGGTGCAGGGAGTTTGGTAGTGAGGAGGTGCAGGGAGTTTCAGTAGTGGTGGAGGTTCAGGGGTGAGGAGGTGCAGGGAGTTCAGTGAGTGAGGAGGTTCAGGAGTTTTGGGAGTGCAGGGAGTTCACAGGAGAGTTTGGTTTAAGGGAGGTTCAGGGAGTGTGAGGAGGTGCAGGGAGTTTGGTGAGGAGGTGCAGGGAGTTTGGTAGTGAGGAGGAGGTGCAGGGAGTTTGGTAGTGAGGAGGTGCAGAGAGTTTGGTAGTGAGGAGGTGCAGGGAGTTCAGTAGTGTGGTGGTACAGGGAGTTCAGTAGTTAGGAATATTGCCTACTTCTGTATAATACACACATTCACTCAAAGAAATGTAAGGTGGAAAGAGGTCCTGGATAACCAGTTGTAGGCCACTGTCATTGTCGTGTAAGATGTTTGCTGCAGAGTGACAGACAACTTTATACATATATGTTCCTGAGCAGGCGAAGGGGCCACCTTTTACACCGGACACAAGTGAGCCAACTTGCTAAAAGCCATTTGCCATGTCTAGCCAGGTGGCAGGAAAAGTGTGAAGTGGTTGTGGCATGCAAGCAGCCATCCTGTAGCCTCACTAAGTGACCAGTGTCTGGCCAAGATTAACTATGCCAAACAGTGGGTGCAAAAAGTACTTTATACTGTAGGGATAGTGTGCTATAGCTCACAAAGCCAGAGTCTAAGATTAAGACTGACTGAGTTTTTTGTTTTACGCCGCTTTTAGCAATATTCCAGCAACATCACGGCGGGGGACACCAGAAATGGGCTTTACACATTGTACCCATGTGGGGATTCGAACCCGGGTCTTTGGCGTGACAAGCCAACGCTTTAACCACTAGGCTACCCCACCGCCCCTCTAAGATTAAGAAATCAGGGTGGGTGCACTCAATACATGTCTTGGGTGCTTACGGTTCCATGTCTCAGTATGGACCAGGTGCCTGTGGGTCTGGTTCTACCTTGACCAGGTGCCTGTCTGGCGTGATCCTACCTGGACCAGGTGCCTGAGCAGTGTGTTCGTCCTGAGCAATGGGGTCCATCCTTGTCAGTGTATTATGGGACAATAAGTCTCAAGAATTGGGCTGAATATGTGCTCAGTATCTCTTGCTCATCTTGGCATTTAATTTGAGAAGAAAAATGTGTCTTGACTGACATGTCATCTTGGTTCAGTGGCAAGGATCTTTGTTTATGCATCACTCACTGCATTCACTCACAAAACAGCATCAAGAAACATAGCCCTAATGCGAATGAAGACAATACAGTATTTGACATTGAGATATTTCATTTCTTTATTCATGATTTGCAATGACGAGTTTGACGGCACAAGTCCGACATACATTTCACTAACACATGGCAATATACAGCATCAAGGACAACTTGACACCAGTGTTGACTTACAGAGGTGCAGTCTACAGGTCTACTGAGATAAATTATACTTACAACCTTGCATTGAATGTGATTAGATATGTCCATATACAAGTGCATGCTTCAGCCTCGATCTACACCAACAATACTGAGATTAATTTGAAGTAACATGTAGCAGAGTGGCCAAAATTTATCTAAAAGGTTGAGCAAGTTTAACAATAAAAGTTTCCACATAAAAAGACATTGTAGTTTTGATTGAGAACCACAAAGGACAACTCTGAGACTGTCGCAGCATATACAGATTAATAAATAAAGCTGTGTACACCTGATGCACAGAGTACACCTTAGCAAGCAATGGCAGTCTGTATATACAAAGAATTATATAGGGAGCCTCTCTGTCCATGTGCTTGAGGTTAGGCAGATGGACACAAGGTCAGGAAGATAACACTTCTGTAAGGCCCGTGTCAGGACTTTACTTCTATTATTTAACAGATCCTGGAATGAGTGAGTATGGATTTATGCTGCTTCTATGAATATTTCAGCAATTTCCTCAGCAAGGAACACAAAAATTGGGCTTCAAATATAGTACCCATGTGGGGAGACAAACACGGAACTGACACATGAATGCTTTAACCACTAGGCTAGCCCACAAAGATCCTGTGATGAAAATGGAAATCCATGTGATTGACAACTAAGTATACAGAATAGAGTATCAGGTAAACCACTACACAAATGGTAAAGACTTTATTGCTGTCCTCTGCATCAGCATCAATTCTAATTCAACTTTCCCTGTGCAGAGGATGGAGAGCAGGATTAGAGTTATCCCCCTTGCATAACTCGCTTAACATCTCGAGCATAATGGTTATACTGGTTTAGGTTACAAGCAGAACTATTTACTGGTAATTACAGCAAAGCCAGGAAATGTAGTGTACTGGAGGCATCCTTAGCCTAGACATACATTATGTCGAGTATTGCAGATAAATATCCCTGTAGACGTCACATCATCATCTCATGCTTTCCCTAACTTGGACAACTTATAGTCGTAAATATACCCTGTGAAACTGATATTTTATCCTCATCATTGGTCCATCATCCACTAAACATCCGAGTTGAAAGACAGTGGCTGCTTGTGTGTAAACAAACCTATGTGGAAGAATAGCGTAAACCGATATCCAAGTGCCCCTATCTCAATACGGTGTTATTGCACTGTAATACTATGTAATATACATTACCCTATGTATCTTGTTTCTTACCTTTCCTATTCCAACTATTTCATATCTTTCCATATGGTCTGTTACCCAGTTACTTACTTCACTGCCCTGTATTGCCATTTCAATAAAACCCTGATTTAAAGGCATCCTTCACAAATACTACATCTGTCCATAGGTTACCTCAAGTTTCAACAGGAATCTGTGTTCACTCCAGCGAGGCAGTCACAAGCAGCACAATGGAAACAATCATCTGTACACTGCTCAATTTCAAGGGTGAGAAGGATGAGGACTATGTATAAATTCAACATTTCATGTTCCAATGGTCGACTTTGATGCAGGAAGATATTGGAAAATACTTGGAACACCTGTATTATGGGACAAAGTTAAAGCTTCATCACACTGGTAACATTTACGGTACCCATGTAAGGTCAACCATAAAAGGGAACAACAATTCTGGAGCATATGGAAATCGTGATGAACAGAAAATGGTTTCATGAATTCTAGAATCGGGATGAAACTTCAAAGGTCAACATCACATCAATATTCAAATATCTATGATTCAAATGTGAAAATATTATACATTTGCAGCTTCTTGAATTTGATTGTGGAGGTGTGGTCTGGGCTTCTGATGAATTCCTTACATAATTGGAATAAAGGTGTACATCTCATGGAAATGGTAAACGGTCCCAGCGTCACAACAAAGTGAATTCTACATGTGAGACAGGATCATGGAAGAAGATGTCAAGGAGGATATGGGACTTCAGCTTGATGTGATGAAACTTTGGTCCCTTGTGTCTGTTTATTGAATGAATCACTTATCATCTTATTGGATACGTGTCTTTTAAACAACTACAGCATATCATATTTTAAAAACAAAAGCAATGTTTAGGTAAACAATAGGATGTGTTTTAACCTCAGAAAAACAGTTCACATATCAGCATTCAAACAGATTTTGGCACTCCTTAATAAGTGACAGCTTTAATGGAAAATATAACTTTGCACAAAAATAAATCAAGGATAAACAATGCCACATACATTCTCTAAGCATAAGATTTAATTTATGTACAAAATTTACCCTAATCACAAAACTTGATAACAACTGGTAGCACTATATTCCATATATAACCTGTACGGCCAGTGATGTCGACACAAATGCTGCCCTATGACATCACACAGCAAGAGTTAATCCTGATTCAGCATTTATACGTATTTCACTTGATTCTATTTCCAACTATTGAATTAATTCTGTTCTCATGTTCACTATGGGACTGGGTGTCTATATACAGGGATGAAGGAGACAATCAGAAAGGGCCAGAGAGCATCAGACAAACACCAGACAGTCATGTTCCTGTTGGGACGATATCCTATTGGAGATTTCCACACTAATAAACCATAAATCATTATCAGAGTAAGAAATGGGGCAAACACATGGAAACGGTTGCATAACTGATGTTTGGAGTAATCTTTTTAACTGTCAGATTGAAATCTTCAATTCACTCATCCACATATGAAATCAGATATCAATCAGTAGATAGGACACTAACATGCTTCAGACCGATGAACTTAATTTCATATAAGTCAGAAATATTTACAAGAAATTATGTCAAAGAATTAGAAATGAAATGATCTCCAAAGCAGGAGAAGTAAGTATTTGGACTTCTGGATATAATTTCCTTTTTTCATATTAAAGATCTCTATTATCTGTTCTTAGTCTTTAAGACTAAACACAAGAGAGATTTTGAAGAACAGTCACTGACCTACTTGGATGATATAAATGATGTCATGATGAGACAGACATGAACTGTATCACATAAGTCATCTTGAGCTATCTGTATATTTCTTAAAAGAAAATCTGTTTTTATTTTCATGAAAGATTCTAGTCAACAAGTTACGAAAGGAAACTCAAGTGCAAAGACTATCACTGTGAAACATTCATGAAGAATAACTAAGAGTTATCAGTGAAAGGTAAATAAGAGTGAAAATTGAACGAAAAGATACATAATTGAGGAAGACCAACACTGGATAAATTTCTGAGCATAGGATTCTCTGATGAACACAAAACGTAGAACAAACATTCCAAACAAAAGCAAGTTGAGTGACAGTTGTAGTGAAAGGGAGGTAACTCTTATTATTTGCCAAAACAGCAATATTTTGCATCCATGAGTATTTGGGAAAAATAAAATACATAAAATCAAAAGAGAATAACTAACAATGTCCCGTATACTTAAAAACAACATATTTAACAAAATAACTGTTAAAAAAATCCACTTTTGCTGTTTTCAAGAATTTCGTAAACTGTACTACAGATCCACTGATGCCACTGATGCCAAGTCCTAATTTGAAACTCTGTGGTTAGATATCAGCCGGAATAAAATAATGATACATGGTCAAACTTGTGAGTTTACAAACATATGATAAAACAATTCTGTACATTGAAGACCTGCTAAGAACATCTTGTGCAGCCCACTAAAACAATGATATGCATGTTGGGAGAGACAAGGAGAGTCTATGTACACAGCTGATGGGGAGTTAGTGAAACCGTCTTTATTACATCACAGTGGAAGTATCAGTCCATATGTTAAGCAGTCCATAATTTAGTGCCAGATGAAAAACTAAAACTCTTCGGGCCAGACCAATTTCTTGTTTTACAGATCCGCCGGTCATATTTTTTCAAGAATAAGAAAGAAAAGAAATTAATTTTCCCCGCTCAAAAAATAAAATCCCCATGTTGTTATTGGCCAAAAATGTAAACTTACCAAGAAAAACTTTTTTGATTGTTTTTTTGCCCCATACACACTTCATATATTGCCAAAAATAAAATACTTTTAGTATTTTAAAGGAATATTACATTGACTGGGGATTTCTATTTTTTTTCCCTTTAGGTTTTCTGAGGACAAAAATCTGTAAAACAAGAAATAAAATTGGTCTGGCCTTAGTTTTTAACATACAATTAAACCCTGGAAATATTTAAGTGAAGATTTGACTTCCAAGAAGAATGTCCTTGAGATAATCAAAATACAAATGAAGGTGCTATTGTATTAACAGAGTACAATTGTTGCATATAAGTACCATTGTATTGGTTATATCAACACTAATTTACAGAGCAAAACTAAAACAGCTGAGATTACCTTCCATCTGGTACCATAGTAATGCTTTTCAATTACAGGGTTCAAATGTGACAACTAGATCTCTTATCAGATTAGAGCAGTAAAACGTAATTTAAGGAGTTCAGATTTATATCTGACACTGAACATTTGAGCTGCTCTCTAACGTAATCTGCTATTTCCTGACAATCAGGTTCTACACAGCAAACATGGTCTGGTCTTATAGCACCGAGGTACACTGACAAAACCTATACAAACTGATAGTTATTTGGAAAAAGAAATTCAGTGATTTTGAATACTTGCCTTGATTACAGAGACATTTAAATGTCTGAAATTGAAAATCACTCAAGAAATGATTAGTGGACAATTTGTACAATATTTGATTTAGACGTATCCATCATAGAAAGAAACCTGATAGAATTACAAAGGAACCAGGCTCTGATTATTTACAATTTTGACAGCCTGTGGAAAATCGACAACATCTTATGACATCACATTATTATCACACACGTATCGAAGAAGAAAAAGAGTAACATGTCTTCATCTGTCTCTCGTTCAGAACATATCATACTTGTGACAGTAAATTTGACCTCTGATAAACCTCTCTTTGGATCTTGTTCCCATGGCAACCTGATATATATATATATAACACAGTTTCACATATTCACAAATATTCAGTGTATGTACATATCGCGATATGCGACATCGCATCTCAGTTTGGCACGATGGTTGAGATTTATTTCCCAGTAACTTTCCTAGAGGATGGCTAGACCTTCTTATTCTTAACTTATAGAACAATCGTTGGACTTGTCATCTTTTGCCACAATTTCCTCAGTATCAGACACGACCTCCTGACTGTCTGAACGCATTGATTGAGCCTCTGGTGATGCATTTGCTTCATCAAGCGTCGGGGAGTCACATTGCGGGATGCTGACGTCCAGCAACGACTGGGACTGCTCTACGACCTTCTCCAACACGTGAATCTGACTCTTGATAGAATGGAAGAACGCCTTGTACCCCATACTGTAAACAACAAAAAGAACTGATCACACAAGTTGTTCTACATACACTGGTTGTTCTACATACAATTGTTGTTCTACATACACAAGTTATTCTACATACACTGGTTATTCTACATACACAAGTTGTTCTACATACAGTGGTTGTTCTACATACACAAGTTACTTTACATACACAAGTTACTTTACATACACAAGTTGCTCTACATATACAAGTTGCTCTACATATACAAGTTTATCTATATTGTAAAACCTTGCCTATACACAGCACTCACACTAGAGATTCCACTACTTCTCGCTAAGATGTAACTACCCTGCTTCATTGAGAATTCCTTCTACAAAGCTGATGAAGGGAGGTCGATTTAAAGTTTGAATGTTTTCAGTATTATCACATATGTGTTGTTGCTGTTGGGAGAAGATGGACGTGAAGCAGGTCTTACACTTGGAACACAGACACCTTAGATGACTAGGCCCTTTCAGACCCTTCTGTTCAGTATAATAAAGTAAGTACGGTATATGTTCTGGTATCATTTCAAAATTTGGGTCCCTTCACATCAACACTTTACTCCTGGTCAACGCACAGAACTGCCGTTTAAACAGGTCATTTCAACCTCAGAACATAAATACTTAACTTCTTAAACTTTCACCTTGCTGTTTCAGACATAGCTCTTCTAATTGTTATACAAAGTGTAGATGTGTCATTAAGCAGTTGTATCTTACAGACAGCAACTCTGCCAAATGCTAGGGGAAGAGTAGCAGGAACATCATCCTCTATCATCATGCAGGTTTGGTTTCAGAGTAAGCAACTCTATTACGCTGTTTGATCACAGGATTGTCAGTACCCAGTATTGTGTAAAGCATCTGTACACGGTTCCGCCCACACTGTACACGGTTTCGACCACAATGTACACGGTTTCGACCACAATGTACACGGTTCCACCAACACTGTACACGGTTCCGCCCACACTGTACACGGTTCCGCCCACACTGTACACGGTTCCACCCACACTGTACACTGTTCCGCCATTGTACACTGTACACTGTACACGGTTCCGCCCACACTGTACACGGTTCCGCCCACACTGTACACGGTTCCGCCCACACTGTACACGGTTCCGCCCACACTGTACACGGTTCCGCCCACACTGTACACGGTTCCGCCCACACTGTACACGGTTCCGCCCACACTGTACACGGTGTCGACCACACTGTACACGGTGTCGACCACACTGTACACGGTTCCGCCCACACTGTACACGGTGTCGACCACACTGTACACGGTTCCACCCACACTGTACACGTACACGGTTCCGCCCACACTGTACACGGTGTCGACCACACTGTACACGGTTCCGCCCACACTGTACACGGTGTCGACCACACTGTACACGGTTCCACCCACACTGTACACAGTGTCACCCACACTGTACACGGTTTCACCCACACTGTACACGGTGTCGACCACAATGTACTCACCACTCTGTGTCTGCCCAAAGCTCCAGGTAGGACAACCCCTCCCTCATCCTGGCTGCCATGTCCAGGGGCGTGTCTGTCAGACTGGCTGTGTTCACCGTCCTTGTCACCCCCAGCGTGTCTCGCAACACCGTGGCCATGATCAGAGCCCACTCCAGACAGCCAGCTTCTAGCATGATCTGGAGGAGGTACCTGCCGGAGACAAGGCATGGACGTCACAGTCTACATACAGGGAGGTAAATGACAAATGGGTTCACTTGTTTAATTGTACGATCAATATGCCCAGCATACCTTAGTTCCACCTCGGACTGTACAGGCCCCTTGTTTGCAATCTCTTGTGACATGTGCTCAATGTCGGGCGTGACATTGTCACTGTTGAGTGTGTCGTTGACCACCTCATACTCCCCCAGTAGGGAACTGCTGTCAGACACCTCCAGCGTGGCAACACTACTGTCTTCAGCTGTGGACAGTGAGGATTACACTTGCAGCATACCATGGTCAAACAGAATAAATATGTAATTTTTAGAGTAAAATTGATATTTTATACTTATCCTGACTCATGCTCTTTTGCTTGTCTTCTTCTTCTTGCGAACATAGTGGAACACTTGTATCTCCTTATTGAAGCTCCCTTCAAAATAAAATCACTAATTGGTACTCACCACGAGTTGCTCCCCTTTGTCTCCCCTGGGCGGGAAAGGTGTCGCCACCCTCTGGCCATGTGCTCCACTCTCTCCTGATTTACTTGAGCCCAACACTTGAATTTACAGGGAAATCCAAAGTGTTATGTGGGGAGGATGGGAGGGCTAACCTCATGAGTCAGGATAAGTATAAAATATCAATTTTACTCTAAAAATTACATATTTTTCCTTATCCTGACTCATGCTCTTTTGCTTGTAGCATCCTACGGAACGGAGGTGGGTAACAGAATACTTTGGATTTATAATTAGTGATTTTGTATAGATATACTGTAATATCCCCTACGGGAACTTCATGAAGGCTTAGATTTAGGATGTTTCCTGTATAAAGAAAACCATAGGTTATATAAAGCCATTAAAGGGAATTACATTATGAATATATTGAACAATACATATAAATTATATATATATATATAGGTGACTCTGATAGAGGCACTGAAATTGACTATACCAAAGTATATGCTTAAGGTTGAATACTTAAGCTGAACATATATACATAGCCCTAAAACTCCGTAGAGTTATAAGCTAGATGAGTATGTATAAAATACATATTAATCTTGTGAGGATAATATTTTAAGCGCCACGAGGGACTGTCAGTTGCTGGCGAGGACCAGTGGTCGAAATGGTGAATGCCAGAGACATCTTCTGTAGTGATGTCTCTTAGGTAGTGATTAGCAAATACCATGTTAGATTTCCAATAGCATCCTTCCATAATCGTGTTCAAGGAACAGTTACCGTGTAGAGGCGAGGGTAGAGGCCAGTGCCCTGATCTCATGTGGATTTGATGCTGTTGGTGGGTCCAAGCCTGCTGCCTTGTAGGCACGGAGAATGACAGTCCTTATCCAAATAGATATTGTGGTCCGTGACACTTCTGTTTGATTAAGTGGCGATAAAGGGGATGAATAAGCGTTTGAGAAATCTTCTCCTTGTTTTGGATCGTAAGTAAATAAACTTTGAAGCTCTTACGGACACAGTGATAGGTCTTGTGTATCTTGTGATCCGAGAATAGAGGATAAGCGCCGGGATGTGGAATAATCTGTCTGGTTGACCTGGCAGTTGATTTTTCGCGATGAAATCCCATCTTAATCCGAGGTGCGCTGTGTTATGATTGTCATCAAACTGTATCCTCTCGTAATCCAGAGCGTGAATTTCAGACATTCTTGCTGCTGTGGCTAGCGATAGCAGAAACAGTGTTTTCTGTGAGAGAAATTCAAAGTTTGTCGATTCCAAAGGTTCATAGACCTCACTCGTGAGGTGTTGTAACACTACATTCAGATCCCAAGCTGGGGCGTGGAACTTCGCTTTTGGTCCTCAATCGGGCTTCGTAGTAAGGCCAGTAACTCTGGAGATCTTGTCAATTTGACACCCGTTCTCATGGTGATTACAGAACTAAAAAAGCGGCAAGATATGTTGATATCGTTGAACCTTTTAAATGTTTGTTTTGGCGTAGGTAACACAAATAGTCTGCCACTTGAGGTTGTGAAGCCTCTCTTGCTGTAAACCCTTTCTTTGTTGCATAATTTTTGAAACTGTGCCACTTGTCGTCATTACAAATTCTGAGTTGAGTAAGCGTAAGGCAAAGCGTGACTGCTTTTGCCGCCCTGGCAGAATATCCTCTCTTGTTTAAACACATTTGTATACAGTCCATACGTGTAGTTGGAACATTGCTGGGTTTCCGTGCACTTGTTTGGTGTGAGGATGAATTAACAGGTTTGCTTGGCGCTTAGGTAGCTCCAGTGTTGGTTGACCGATTTCTTGAATTAGTATGGGAAACCACGTTCTGGCGGCCAGTAGGTAGCTGACCAAAGTGAGTTGTAGGCTCTGTGTTTGTCTGATTTTCTGTAATACTTGAGGTATTATTGCTGGCGAAAAGCGATGCGCGTGAGGCCTTCCATGATAGACTTAAGCGTCCGTTGCCCAAGCTTGGGGGTCTGGGACTGGTGACACGAATGTCGGTAGCTGATTGTTGAATCGCGTGGCGAATAGGTCTATTAGCGTGCTCCTAATTGCTTGATTATCTGTGCAAAAATTTCCCTGTTGATCATCCACTCTGTCGGTGATGGTAGATGAGGCGAGAGAGCGTCTGCTAGTATATTTCTGGCTCCAGGAATGTGCACTGCTCTGACATGTAGATTTAGATCTTGTATTAAATCGAACAGTTGAAAGCTTAGGTTCAAAAGGTTCATCGATCTCGTTGAGCCTTGCTTGTTTATAATAGAGAACGCCACTGTCGAATTGTCTGTATGGATCATTAGCGCATTTTGTAGAAATGTGCTCCAATGTAGAATGGCGTTGATTACAGCTTTCATTTCTAGACTGTTTATATGGAGTGTGCATTCTTGCTGATTCCATAACCCTGATATCGTGTGGTTGGTGAGATGAGCTCCCCAACCTTGGAGTGACGCGATCTACATACAGATGGGTTTTGTATTCCTGCTCTGCTAAACAAATCCCTTCGCAGACATTCGATTTCTTGGTCCACCATAGTAGATGCGGTCTGAGATGTTTCGGTAGACTGAATGGTTGTACATCGTTGAGATGTGCGTTGATGAGAGACCTGTAGGGGCGTAACTGTAATCTGCCTGTGACAGTCATGTCTTGGGCTGATGTGAGAAGACCTAGTAGGCTCTGCCATTGTCGCAGTGGTAACGGAGAGAGTAGAGCTGGTGGAATGGTCTGCTGTATCTTGAGCCAACGGTCTTCTGGTACCATAATACGGTTGCGATTTGTGATGAATCGAATACCTAGGAACTGCAGGTCTTGCGATGGTACTAGGTCCGACTTGCGTAAGTTTACTAACCAACCTAGTTGTGTTAGTAGCTTTATGATGTAATTTAACTGTAGTTTGAGACGCAGTGGATCTTGATCTACTTGTATCCCGTCGTCGAGGTAAAACGCACTGCGTAGCCCTTGACGATGTAGAAATTTGATAATCGGTTTCGTTATCCTCGTGAATAGCCAGGGGGCTGATGATATTCCGAATGGGAGTACTTTCCACTGGTAATGTAGCCCTTCTAGAGTAAATCGTAGGTATTTCCTGGAATCGGGATGAATGGGGATGTGCAGGTAGGCATCCTGTAGATCTATGCTGCCCATGTAGTCCATAGGACGAATCATCTGGCGTAACTGAGGTAAATGTATCATCTTGAAACCCCGGTGGGTTGCGTAGATAGTTCTTGTTGAAAAGCTCATGTTGTAGATGCGTCTGTATTTCTCGTGGAGTTTTTCTTGGGAACTAGGAAAACTGGGAGTAGAAACCTGGTTCGACATTTGCTTGATCTATTACTTCTATGGCCTGTTTGGATAGGAGTGATGAAACAGCCTCTCTTATCTTTGGTAGTTGTTGCGCTTGTAAATCGAACTTGGGGGGTTTGATTGTCAGCGGAGGCTTGGCCTGTAGAGGGATATGAAATCCGTGTTGAAGAATGTTGGAGACGTAAGGGTCTTGCAATATTCCCCAGTTTTCCCAGTGTAGTTGGAGGCGTCCACCCACTTGAGCTGGCTGTACTGGAGCGGCTGGGGTGGAAGACTCCAGTCGTTCGAACCTGTGTTTCAGCGTCTATAATTGCGGGAACCTCTGGGTGTCCTGCCTCTTCCTGATCCTCCTCTATAGTTGCCATATGGGCTTAATGAAAAGAATCTTTACCTCTAGAGCTGGCTATCTTCCTGTCTCTTGCTCTTTGTAGGCCCGTGAACTTAGATCTGCCTGAGTATCTTTGTGAAGTCTGACGAATGGCGCTGGCTAGTGTGTCCATCGATCTAATCATAAGGACTTCCCTGGAATCCTTAGAGACTTCCTTGGCGACTTTGTCTATTTCTCCGTCAAAGATGGATGTTGTCGACCACGGGGCTGTATAAAGTGGGGCTGTAAAGTTCTCCCCCCAATTACAGGAGGCGAGGAGGCCTTGACGACGAGCTAAGGTCAGTGCTGCTGAAACAGATGTAAGATGATCCGTTAAAACTGCTGATCTTTCTTTGCATAAGTAAGGCAGAAAAAATCATTCTATCATCTTCCGTCGTGGAATCCGAATCTAGTAATAAGAGTCTCATTGATCGTCCTAGATCTATTTAACCCAAAGAACATCGTCTCGTCATGGTTTCTATATGAGCCAACTTGCGATCATCCATCTTGTAAATCTTGTTCTTTACATCGCTGATGATCTTATAGTTCTCATCGATGTCCTGGGCCTTGTAGAAGGAGTCCATGTTATCGTGGAGAACTTCTTGGCTTGAAAGTTGGGCAGATGTGGTATCTGAACTTTCGTAGCTTTCTGGAAAGCTGCATCTAGATTCTGTGGCACTGCTGCAATCGGGTCGATCGGGGTAGAAGTGATTGCATCTGGATCATCTTCCTTCATCAAATCGTCTGCTGTATTGCCACTTTTAGATGGTGATGTGAGATCTAGGTTATTGACCATCCAATACCGTATCTCTGCATCAGAAAATATGATTCCTCCATCATCCTCAAAACCATCATCATTAACAAATTGTAGATGCTCTTGGGACTGCGTGTAGCTGTCTGTATATCTGATGAGGTTTGTGGCGATCTAGTTGACTTGTCGCCGCTCTATGTGGAGATCTGACGGTGATCGGCCTGGTGATGAACGAAGTGGAGATCGTCTATGGGATGATCTTCGGAGACTTGTGAGGTGAATGTTGATAGCTGAAGCTCTTCGGCAGTCCCTCGATGTTCTTCTAGATGATGAGGATCTGGAATCATATGACCTTCGCCTAATGCCTGCGCGAAGCTTCATTTGCGTCGGTCCGGGGATCGATGATATGACCTTCGCGAAGGCCTCCGTGATGTCTGATGGTCTGAGTCCATATCTAGAGATGAAATCGAAGAAGGTGATGATCTCTCCCGCCTTCGCGAAGGCCTTCGCGAAGGCTGTACATCTAGGTCCTTCGTCAAGGTGGTGCGGGACTTCCTTCGCGAAGGTGACATCGTCTTGGCTGCTACGTTGACAGGGGTGCCTCTGGGGTGCTGTCTACGTTGGAGCCTAGCGAAGCTTCGGACCCTGCTAGCGCCAGTTTGTAGTGGTCCTCCATGATGTTCATAAACTGCCGCATCATGTCTTCTGGGATGATCTGTGATCGAAGTCGTCGGGCGTCTTTTCTGCGATGGGGTTCACATCAATGGCGTCTGGCGATCGGTGTAGAGGCATCAGGCTGCATGGTGATCTCTGCAGAAGTCACAGTCGCTGACACCGGTCGCTTCTTCTGCCGTAAGTCGGGGATGATTATCGGCTGATCATCGTAGAGGCCCAATTCTGCTGCTGGAACGATCTCGGCTGAGAAAGTTCTTGCTGTCTTCGTAGATTTCCCTTTGGAAGTCTGCGCTGCCCTGGGTGTCCTCAATCTGCGTTGAGACGGCGATGAGGCCCTCTTAGACTTGGTCTGCAATGGACGGGATGTCTGGGGAGGCCGGTCGTTTCTTCGAGGTAACGGACTGCGTCCACGTTCCTCTGCCGCAGGGGTCTCTAGCAGAACACCAGGCGGGAGAGGGTCGATCGCTAGCAGCTGACTGGATGGAATATCTGGACTCTCTGCCATGTTTTGCCCTTGTTTGCGTGATCTATCTGCAGCCGCGTCTTAAAGGCATAAAGATGATATTTATTAAATGCAGAATGAGATAAATTAATGCAGTAACTGCAAGCGTGAATTAAACGCGACACGCAGTAGAACAACTAGGGCATATTACATGTGGATCGGAGGCAGAAAAACGTAATCTACAAATCGTACAGATTTTCATCAGCGTAAAGCTAGCTGAACAATCCGAATACCGTGAATAAACAGTAGAAATACGATAATTAATCAATACAAATAGTAAAGGATACTAGCTATACCTCTATAGTAACCTATGAGAGGTAAAAACTAAGAGATTATCAAAGGATATGGTGTGTAAGGAGACACAAGGCGCTCTCACATCCTGCTCACTGGGCGAAGAAGGAGAGAGTGGAGCACATGGCCAGAGGGTGGCGACACCTTTCCCGCCAGGGGAGACAAAGGGGAGCAACTCGTGGTGAGTACCAATTAGTGATTTTATTTTGAAGGGAGCTTCAAATAAGGAGATACAAGTGTTCCACTATGTTCGCAAGAAGAAGAAGACAAGCAAAAGAGCATGAGTCAGGATAAGGAAAAATATATGAACTTGCTTCAATCATCCATGGTCAAACAGAATAAATAAGTAGGTGAGTGACGGATAATCTTGGGAGTGACTTGTGAATCCTGCCACAGCTAAGGGGCATAACTCTTCACAGTGAACTGCAATCCTATAGAATTCCAAGCTGACAATGTCTTCACTGTTGACAAACGAAATGGATGTCTATTTAACAGTGAAAACTGCAACTCACTCTTGGAATGCTGTGGTCTGAGAAACACATCGTCCGACGTTGACTGGGACATGAAGGATTCAGTGGGAGGTGAGCGGACAGCGCAGAATGGTGTCAACAGCACCGGCTCCTGGCTGTCTGTCATGGGCTTGTCACTGTCAGTCAGCGGACTAGCTGTGTCCTCCTCTAGCACTGATGACCCAAGACTAGATGACGAATCTGGAAGTATTTGTCAGCATTAAATATATTAAAAATGTCTAAACCATACATTTCTCACATAGTTAGGATGAGCAACAATGAGTTACAATTACAAAAGGAAATGAAGAGGGTGGCAGAAATATCAATGTCAAACTACAGAGGAACTCCCAATTGCTTATAAAATCCTGAAAGACTGCACGTGTAGTCAGTTACAGATAATGTAAATGCTACTTATCAAGTCATTCAGTACATTTGATCAGCATTTAAAGGTTGGAAAATAGTTTCTTGTCTTTGAATTCTCTCTGACGACCATAGGCATAGCCAGAACACACACTTCATCCTCCACATCTGAAGACATCCCAGAAGGTAATGAGTTTTAGTGAGTTTAGTTTTACGCCGCACTCAGCAATATTCCAGCTATATGGCGACAGAAGGTAATGAGATCCTACAGATGTCTCTCAGAGTGTGTATACATCATGATACACCAGCAAGCCAGTCACAAGATGCCAACAGGTCTGTGACTTACATGCCATGCTCTTCTTCAGTTGATGGTAGGACAAGATTGGCAGAGGCCAGTCAAACTGTTGGTGGATGTCACGGAGGGCTGTTACAAAGTCATCCAGCTTGGCTGCACGAACCCTGCAACAAAACATGGATCACACTGTTGTTGCTAGAGGTTTATGGAGTTCAGAGTTCAGATTGAGTTCAGATTTCAGAGTGAGGATTACAAAAAGTGTTATTTTGGGGAGTGAGTTTTACCTGTCATTGCTTACATCGCTAACATACATGTGTAGGCCTCTCCCAGACCAACAATTACCTGCTAAAGTAAAGCTACATACTTAACAGCTTTCACTACCAGAAATCTACTGGTAGACAATACACAACAATGCACATCTGAACAGGTTTAAAGCACACATAACATGTATGAGTGAAAAATCCCAAGAATTCTTGTCTTCAGCCAGTCTGTCTGTATGACCCCTACCTCTCCCTACGGAGCCAGGAGACAAGCTGGAAGTCATCCATGTTGGAAGCGAAGTAGCCCAGTGTGCGGATCTGGTTGGAGCTGAGCAGTTTACGAGCATGTCGACACAGGATCATGTCTATGTACACCTGCTCTGCTGTGGGCTCATTCATCTTGGTCTTGCTGGACACCGACCTGAAACACAAAGGGCAGACACTATCCACCATTGTCTTCCTCAGCATACTTCCCAAAGGAGGCCTCTCTTAGTTTGGATTGGAGTGCCTGATTGACTTCACTGGGGAGTCCGGGGATTGTGGGGAGCAGCTCCTTTAAATACCCTTCTCGGAACTCGCCATATACCATGCCGGCCTACATACCCATACCTTAGTTCCACCTGGGACTGTACAGATCTTACCCCAGCAGTCTAAATAGTTCAACCCCAGCAGTCTAAATAGTTCAACCCCAGCAGTCTAAATAGTTCAACCCCAGCAGTCTAAATAGTTCAACCCCAGCAGTCTAAATGGTTCAACCCCAGCAGTCTAAATGGTTCAACCCCAGCAGTCTAAATAGTTCAACCCCAGCAGTCTAAATAGTTCAACCCCAGCAGTCTAAATAGTTCAACCCCAGCAGTCTAAATAGTTCAACCCCAGCAGTCTAAATAGTTCAACCCCAGCAGTCTAAATGGTTCAACCCCAGCAGTCTAAATAGTTCAACCCCAGCAGTCTAAATGGTTCAACCCCAGCAGTCTAAATAGTTCAACCCCAGCAGTTTAAATAGTTCAACCCCAGCAGTCTAAATGGTTCAACCCCAGCAGTCTAAATAGTTCAACCCCAGCAGTCTAAATAGTTCAACCCCAGCAGTCTAAATGGTTCAAGACATAATTGATGTAGTCTCAACTGTGCAATGTCTTTTAGTCATGGTTATTGAAAGTCTTTTATTGTTTTTAACTTGACAAGATACAATATGAATACGTTTCACTCAGGTTTAAGTTTGAAAAGTTCTTAAAGGGAAGCTGCATGACTTTTGAACAGTTTTGAGTCCATTTTCCATCTATAGCTTTCTGTTTATAGTGCCATGATGCTGGAACTTTGGCCTGTTAAGATAGTCATAAAGTGATATTCACAATAACAATTAGCACTTAACTACATTTGAACAAAGTGAATCACATTTTCTAGGACTGCCAATATTCCTGAGTGTAGTTCCCTGCAATTACTAAAGTAAGACATATAACTACACAATGTATTGTAGACTTACCCTTTTCTAACCAAAGGGTCTGAGGCAGTGTGTTTGAGTTTGTCTTTAGGTTTTGGTAGATCTCGGACTGGGTCAGCCACCATGCTTGATGTCCGCACTCGGCCCACATTGCTGACATTGCTGAAGTTGAACCCTCCTGCGTCCGTTGGTGAGATCGGCGGACTGAGAGATGCTGCAGGGTATGACGACCCCGACCCCACTCGACTGAACATTCCGATCGGTGGAGACATCTCAGCCTCATTCGGATCTGAGAAATAACAAGGAGTTACAGGACCGCGTCAGACCAAAAGACATTAAAATATGGTACATGTTGGTCCCTGCCTGGCACTCGGCATTAATGGCTACAACAAGGACTGGTCTGCTCGGAGTCAGTATAATGTGTCTGAGTGGGGTATTCATGCTTCACTGCGGCATGGTATCTCAGAGGGCTAGCACTATAAAACCAGCTTAAGTCTGGGCTAGTACAAGCAGCCGCACATACACATCCACATCCACACACATTCACGTTGTCATATGAGCGAAATATTCTCAAGCACGACGTTAAACTCAATTTCACCTCACCTGTAAACAATACAGACGGATGGTCCAGTGGTTGATACAATGAGCATCAATCATATCAAGATATTTTGGCGAATTATCAAGTCAACGTGTCTGATCACCCAATCAAGAAAAACATGGACAGCTTGGGACCTAACTTAAGAATAACTCAGTGATTGTTGCAAGTAAGCAGTATTGAAGTAAAGACAGAGTTTGGAAGCTAGGTCTTCCACAGGACGAACAAATACTTTAACCATGGCCCCATAGTGAGTGAGTTAGTACTGTAGTGAGTGGATTCAAATGTGCAGCTACTGAGGGTGCTCCTTGTCAAGAAGACATTAGGCTACATGTGACGGAGGTAGAGACACTGACCTATGGCTTTGAGGAACCTGACCAAGTCCCGACATAGTTCCCACTTGCCGGCGTCCAGCGATGCGTCCAGCAGGAGGGTAGCATGCTGTGAAACAGATGACAAACATATTCAGAAGACTGAATTTACAAGACACAGTGTTACTTACAAGACACTGTGTTACTTACAAGACACTGTGTTACTTACAAGACACAGTGTTACTTACAAGACACTGTGTTACTTACAAGACACTGTGACTTACAGACACAGTGTTACTTACAAGACACTGTGTTACTTACAAGACACAGTGTTACTTACAAGACACTGTGTTACTTACAAGACACTGTGTTACTTACAAGACACTGTGTTACTTACAAGACACAGTGTTACTTACAAGACACAGTGTTACTTACAAGACACAGTGTTACTTTACACAAGACACAGTGTACAAGACACAGTGTTACTTACAAGACACTGTGTTACTTACAAGACACAGTGTTACTTACAAGACACTGTGTTACTTACAAGACACAGTGTTACTTACAAGACACTGTGTTACTTACAAGACACAGTGTTACTTACAAGACACAGTGTTACTTACAAGACATAGTGTTAACATAGAGGCTATCTTACACCTCTCACAATCAAGGCACATTTTGACCCACTGACCGCCTGAGAACCCCTCTCACCTGTCTGCTGACCATGGGTTTCTCCAGGTTTTGAAGGATGATGAGGTAGGTTGCTGCTGTCTCCAGGGTGTCATTGATCAGACACTCCTGCAACAACAAACACGTCACTCACTCGCCATTCAACATAAACTCAAACATCAAACAGTTGGCAAATAGGATATAGAACATATCTACAGGAAAATGCACCCATTCTTCCTTTAAGACTTTCACTGTGACCTTGACCTATTACATAGGTCACTCAAGACCTTCTGCAATCGTGGCCCACTCTTACGATGACACATAAGGATGCATCTGAGGGTGTTTCACTGAATCACAGGAAATGTTTCTTGAGCATGATGTATTATACAAACTGTTCTCAAGGTGCTATAAGACCCATGAAGATCCGGATTAGAATTGGTCTTCAGTAACCCATGCTTGTCGTAAGAGGCGACTAACGGGATCGGGTGGTAAGGCTTGCTGGCTTGGTTGACACATGTCATCGGTTCCCAATTGTGTAGATCAATACTCGTGCTGTTGATCATTGGATTGTCTGGTCGAGACTCGATTATTAACAGACCGCCGCCATTGCTGAGGGCGGTGGTAAACAAGAAACCAACTAACTACTCGGGTGGTCAGGCTCGCTGACTTGATGCTCATGCTGTTATCACTGGATTGTCTGGTCGAGACTTGATTATTTACAGACCACTGCCATATAGCTGGAATATTGCTGAGTGCAGCGTAAAACAACAAACCAAACCACGGTGCTATAAGGGAGATAAGTCTTAAGATGTAAGTGGTGCCTGGTTTCAAAGTGGGGTGGCAGGTAGTAGTCAATATATGACAAAACAGTAAAGCATCTTCATTTACACAGGGCTACATCATCACATGGCAGTGACAGTACACACAGAGATGACACAAGGCTGACTATTCCTACAGCACCATTACTATCTTATAGCTATTTCATTCTTTTCCAATACTCCCCAAACTCACCTCAAACAGATCTTTTGGGTTGCCAACTGTGGAGAAGAGGTAGGGCCAAAGAGCAACCTCCGTCTTCCTGGCACAGTGGACCACGGTTTGGAGGTACTCCGGGAATTCCTGGATAAATGCTACCACTCGCGGCAACAAAGGGTCTGTAACCAGAAACAAGCATTGTCACAAAGGTGACATAATCCCCCCCCGTAAGTTATCAAATCAAACTTATAAAGTAATAAAAGTTTAACTTAAATGTCAACAAAAACATGACCAGTCAACCTCTCTTGATATCTTGCTCTATAGGTGTTCAAACATGCACATATTTTCAAGACTGACTTTGACCTTGACATGAATGTCATAGTGTATGAAATATGCTAAAATAGTACTAAAAATTGCTTATTGAAAAACATTCAAGGGAAGTCTTGAAAGTCTAAGAAGAAAGTCCAGTGAACCGTTCTTGAAATATCTTGCTGACAATTCAGGTTAACATTCTGAAATCTTCAAAGTGTCATCGTGACCCTGAAAATTATGTGAAGGTCACCAAAATTGACTGGGCCCTGGGCCTTCCCTAGATGAAGCTTGGTGTCAAATATAAAGAAAATCCAGAGAATATTTTTTGCGATATCTCACTGACAAGCAAAACATGCAGGTTAATATGCTGAAATCTTCAAAGTGTCTCTGTGACCTTGAAAATTAAGTGAAGGTCACCAAAATTGACTGTGCCCTGCGCCTTCCCTAGATGAAGCTTGATTTCAAATATGAAGAAAATCCAGGGAACGGTTCTTGATATAGCTTAACATGCAGGTTTACATGCTGAAATCTTCAAAGTGTCCCCATGACCTTGAAAATTATGTGAAGGTCACCAAAATCGACTGGGCCCTGCGTCTTCCCTAGATAAAGCTTGGTATTAAATATGAAGAAAATCCAGTGAACGGTTCTTGAGATAGCTTAACAGGTAAAACATTAAAGTCCCCTTGTGACCTTGAAATGAAGGTCAAGGTCACCAAACCTGACTTGGACCTTTCTTATACTGTGATGAACCTAGGTACCAAATATGAAAAGAAGCTAGTGAACGGTTCTTAACATATTCCAATTCGTACGGACAGACGGACAGAAGGACAGACGGACGTGATGGACGGACAGACGGAGCGTAATACTATAACAAAATACATAAACCTTGGTCCACTTGTCCCTGGTCAAGTAGTTGATCCACATATCAACAGTCGAATGAGAAAATATCAATCTGCTCTGCATTCTGACAGGCATCATACTAAATGCCACTTGCTCATCAAACTGAAAGTAATGTGGTTATTTCCTTATTTGTGCTAATTGCAAAAATATCCATCACTTTAAGCAAAAGACTTAACATGTATCAATGCCACTGGTATAGAGCAACACCCTTGTTCTTATTGGTGATACATAATTACAGCAAAATTCATTCCCATTTTTAATAACTCACTTCTTGACAGTCCAACCAGTTGCTTCATACACCGGTCAACCAAACAGCCTAGTTCCTACAGATAGCTCATCAGATAGCCTATAATTCCCCTTGACAGCTCAAAAGAAAACCTAGAAATACCTCAAGACTGGTCCCCAGATGACCAGGAATTCCCCCCTAGATAGCTCAGCATGTAGCATAGAATTTTCCCCAAAGTGGTTCCTGGATCACTTGTGATCACGTGAAAGCCCCTAGGTTACCTGGAATGGGGTCTTTAGACGTGGCCTCGGCCTCCAGCACCTCGTGTAGCAGCAGCTCCAGTACATGGGGGAAGTAGGGCAGCTCCGTACAGCACCGGGCCAGGTTCAGAGCATGCACGCCCAGGCTGAAACAGGCAGTCTCACCCTACACAACTGTGTGTTGCAAATCCACACTGTTACTTTCCATAACTACAACTTAGTACAATGGTTAGAGCTCACCATTCCTTCTATAAAAAGACATTGAAGAATTTCTTAGGATACTTACTTTCTCCTCAGCAGCTGCCTCAGTATATGATGGAGATAAATCTGACTCTGAAACATGTAGACCAACATGTAAACAACACAGATGAAATCCATCTAGATGCTTCTTATAGGTGAATGATGTTTCAGCAACCTTGGTGGTTTTCTTCTATTCAACTTCTTGATCATAAAATTAATTCCCTACCTGAGACAAATACAAAGTTGACATGTAAAATCAGATACATGCTATTTTCCATATTGTTTATACATGCTAAGGTGTAAGAGAATGTCATTGAATTATTTCCGTAAACCAGTTGCTGAACAATAACACCCTAACACACTAACATTAATTCCAAAGGGTACAAACAATTTTCCTTCAAATTCCCCATTACTATTGTTTTATAACAAGGCAAAAGACTGTCAACATGAAGTAAAGAGACAAGAGAGATTCTGTTTCTGGACACAGAATCAAACAGTTTACACAAATGTAGAAATATTGCTCCTTCAACTTACAGTTCTCTCGAGTAGTGTCAGAGGAAGAGCTGACTTGTCCTGGCCGGGAGAAGAGACGTCGTACACCACAGCATCACATGCAGCGCCCAAAATAACAGCATCCTCAAATAGCACAGCTGCAGACACATGATACACAGCCTCAGAGTTAGTGAGTCAGTGAGTGAGTGAGTGAGTTAATATTTATCATCACATCGGCAATATTTCAGCCATATTGTGACCACAACAAGAAAGGTTGGACATTGTTTGAGTGTTTAACACCACTCTCAGATACCACTTATACCATAGCAGTCTGTACAACCAGTCAAAGCAGGGATTGATAGTAACAGCTACGGTCAATACCATCTGGTTTTCATGACACCTAATGAACAGCCTCACAGGGCCTGAACACCTGATACAGTAAGTCAAAGACAGGGTGTTAGGCACCTATTCTAATGTGGAATCCCCAAAAGGGGTAGGAACAATCAGTTAAAAGTACTTTGAAATACCAAACCTTAGCTCCTCATCCTGTGTCCATGTGTAAGTAATGAGAGGCTAGGAGGCCCATAAAGCAGATGGTTATACTAAATCAGAGAAGTTCCTGACAATATTAACCAAACTGCATTGCTTCCTTGGGAATATACAGCCCTATGCTGTGCTCAAGCATGAGAACATTTAGCATTCACATTCACTATCATCTAGAAGGGTAGCAGCCATTTACTACTGGGTGATCACAACCAAACAAACTCATCTGATAAGATCACTCTGTATGAACTGTGTTTCAGTGACAGGCCCTAGAGTCTCACAGTCATAGTCAAGAATGTCAACAGATATCTCCTCGAGTCATATATCCTCAGAAATACTGAAGTGTAGTTTCTACCCTCACCAATTTTGAGCCTACATTTTCATGCTAAAATATGAGTGGTCACACATATCAACACACTAAGTTAACAAATGTGTATACTCACCTAGAGGGTAAATGTCCACTTTGAATGGCAGCATTATTCGTTTTGACATGAAGTTGTGAGCTTTTCCCTCATTCTTCGAAACAAAGGTAACCACACCTGAAACAGATATCCTCATGTCTCAAGCATCATCTTAGGATTCATCACAACATTTCTAGATTCTGACAAACAATACAGAAAGAAGAAACAAAAATCTTCAAAATATTAATTATATTTTCTAGGTGAGTATCCCCCCAATCAATAAATCATTTAAATCAGTGTCAGATGTCCAGTGACTGACCTTCATCCCGTGTGAGCCACAGCCCAGCCACATGGCTTCCAGTAATTGCATCTTGCCCAGGTTGGCCCTGGAGGTTGTCCAGAGATTTTCTACAGAGGTAGCTACGACAGACGGCGGACAGAACGGCACCTGCAGACATACCAACATTCCTTACATAAAGTACCACATAGTGTTTACATACTGTGATCACAGCACAATGTCAGGCACTTGATTCACTGATGTAAGTATGGTTGAACTGATGTAAGTATGGTTGAACTGTTGAACTGATATAAGTAAGGTTGAACTGATGTAAGCATGGTTTGAACTGATGTAAGTAGGGTTGAACTGATGTAAGTATGGTTTGAACTGATGTAAGTATGGTTTGAACTGATGTAAGTATGGTTGAACTGTGAGAACTCCTGTGTTACAGTGTCAGCAAATACAAAGTATTCAGCAAAATACACTAATAAAGGTGTCACCTACCGATCTATATTTATGATCTTCATCTTTGATCTGTGGACCTCTGCGGTCTCGTTGAAACATCAACAGTTTACCAGATACATTCAACAACATACTCTCAGCTTCTTTGGAAGTATGCTTTATCTGTGTTCCTGAAAATAAGGAAGTGTGACAGGGTCAAATGATGGATAACAAAGGTTGATTTTGTCTTCTTTCAAACATTAAAGAGGGTCTCATCTAATTGAATCATCTTGACAAACAATCATTGTGTGAATTAATCTATGTACACATAATGGTATAGATGTTAGTTCCCATTTCATTGTTGTGATATGTTATTTGAGCCATTTGCTTTCCTATGGAGTGGGGATAAATGGATGAGAATGAGGGGCACCTGTTTTGTGCATATGATAACTGAAATTTGAGGAAGGCCATTTTGGGATAAACTGATTGAGGGGCACCTGTACAGTTTATATCTTACATACCTGACTCAGATGTGAGGGAGGGATGAGCATTTGTACAGCCAAGGGGGTGGGGATAAACTGGTTGAGGGGCACCTGTACAGTTTATATCTTACATACCTGACTCAGATGTGAGGGAGGTGAGTGTGAGGCCAGCTACACACAGGGGGTGGGGGATAAACTGGTTGAGGGGCACCTGTACAGTTTATATCTTACATACCTGACTCAGATGTGAGGGAGGTGAGTGTGAGGCCAGCTACACACAGGGGGTGGGGGATAAACTGGTTGAGGGGCACCTGTACAGTTTATATCTTACATACCTGACTCAGATGTGAGGGAGGTGAGTGTGAGGCCAGCTACACACAGGGGGTTGGGGATAAACTGGTTGAGGGGTGGGGGGGGCACCTGTACAGTTTATATCTTACATACCTGACTCAGATGTGAGGAGGTGAGTGTGAGGCCAGCTACACACAGGGGGTTGGGGATAAACTGGTTGAGGGGCACCTGTACAGTTTATATCTTACATACCTGACTCAGATGTGAGGGAGGTGAGTGTGAGGCCAGCTACACACAGGGGGTGGGGGATAAACTGGTTGAGGGGCACCTCCTGAATTTTGCTGATAGTCACTGCTGGATCTGAAACATCACAAAAACATGACAGCTAAAAACACTCAAAGAAACAAGCAACTGCATCCAAAATCTATGGCAATTGCAGGACAAAGCTTATTACAACTGTCAGTCAGGCCAAACCAAGATCTCCCCCTAATTACAGTTAATTGTTTGATTACTACCTGTATGTTTGAATAAAATGATCTACACATACTTGACTGAGTATTTTTCCTCTCCAGACTAAAGAGCATGACGTGGCTATCAGCACAGAAGATGATGAGGATGTCCCTGAATGTGTTGAGGAGGAGGACCTGAGCAGGCACCTTGGTTATCTGAGCAAACGTATTGTCCAGCTTAGTGCCACTGGGATAGAATCGGATCTGAAACAGGATAAAGGGACACCATGACATGTTGCTAAAGCTGTGTATGGGTCTGTTTTACTGTAAACTAATTTAAAATATGTGAAATAAACAGTACTGCTGGGTCAATAATCACCCTCTGACTTGTCAGTCCTTGAACTTATCAATTGTTCCAACCAACATCTCTTTCTATCTATTTTTCATTTCTAGTTTGACTACTGACAAAAGAATCTTCAACAGTCTTCAGAGTAATTTTGTTAAATTAAAAGAGAAATAAAAGCTGATTGTATTGGACATTAATGTCTCACCTCGTCCCTCTGACCTGGGATGTTGTAGCAGGCCAAGCAGATGAAGTCCTTCCACCAGGTGATGCCACCTGACACAACCATGTCCCGCTCCTGCATCACACACAACATCATCAACACTGCTACATCCCACAAACACCATTACCAACATCACACACATCATCATCAACACTGCTACATCCCACATGTGACATCATCAACACTGCTACATCCCACAAACACCATTACCAACATCATCATCAACACTGCTACATCCCACATCATCAACACTGCTACATCCCACATTATGTGACATCATCAATACTGCTACATCCCACAAACATCATTACATGTGACACATCATCAACAATATACCAACCACATGTGACATCATCAATACTGAAACATCCCACATGTGACATCATCAATACTGAAACATCCCACTAATATCATTACCAATATCCACATGTGACATCATCAATACTGAAACATCCCACAAACATCATTACCAATATCCACATGTGACATCATCAATACTGAAACATCCCACTAATATCATTATCAACATCCCACTAACATCATTATCAACATCCCACTAACATCATTATCAACATCTCACTGACATCATTATCAACATCCCACTAACATCATTATCAACATCCCACTAATATCATTATCAACATCCCACCACCATCATTATCAACATCTCACTCACATCATTATCAACATCCCACTAACATCATTATCAACATCTCACTAACATCATTATCAACATCCCACTAACATCATTATCAACATCCCACTAATATCATTATCAACATCCCACTAACATCATTATCAACATCTCACTAACATCATTATCAACATCCCACTAACATCATTATCAACATCCCACTAACATCATTATCAACATCTCACTAACATCATTATCAACATCATTATCAACACTCACTAACATCATTATCAACATCTCACTAACATCATTATCAACATCTCACTAACATCATTATCAACATCTCACTAACATCATTTCAACATCACAACATCACATCCCACTAACATCATTATCAACATCTCACTAACATCATTATCAACATCTCACTAACATCATTATCAACATCCCACTAACATCATTATCAACATCCCACTAACATCATTATCAACATCCCACTAACATCATTATCAACAATCATCAAAATCATCAATATATTCAGTATCATAAGCATTACAGGCACAACATCATTGACATCATTCTCATCACAAACATCACATGTAACACCACACACACATCACAGCTTCACACACATCACATTATCACACACAGGTATGAAACATATGAAATGTACAGGTACCCCTCAAAACCTCACACAACATCACCAACAACACCGGCATCTGACACACAACACCATCACACACACAACATGATCATCAACCAGTGGCACTTACTTGTGTTTCATTCCCAAACAACTTCCACTTTCTGTTGAAGAGCGCGTAGTGAGCGAAGCCTGTCTTCCCTGACTGCACACACTGCCCAGCACGGTCCAGCCTGTCTTCCTGCCACTGCCACACACTGCCCAGCAACCCGGTCCACTGCTGAATACTGGAAGTTGGGTAACACAAGCTTATTTGTTATAAACCTGCTCTTACGCTGTGTAAGCCTGATGCCAGGGCAGGGACGAGTCCCAGTTTACAACCAAATCAGCTATTTCTTGACTATACCAGGTAACCATCATTATAGATCTCAAGAGTTGGGTATGAAATACTCCATTGAGGATTGTATACTAGTTCCCTGGCAAACCTATTTAGACCATGCATAAAGCAATCTGATGATTCCTACACTGAAGCTGACTGTAGCTCTATATTTACTCCAACAATAGGGACTTGTAGTGCAACCAATGAGTTCTTGTGTTAATGTCATTAAACTATGTGAACAGCCATGGGTCAAGGTAGTCCTGTGAGTATCCAGTTCAGGGCCAACCTGACCCAAGTCCTACTCAGGGCCAACCTGACACAAATCCTACTCAGGGGTTACCTGACCCAAGTCCTACTCAGGGTACATCTGACCCAAGTCCTACTCAGGGTACACCTGTCCCAAGTCCTACTCAGGAGTCACCAGACCCAAGTCCTACTCAGGGCTCACCTGACCCAAGACCTACTCAGGGTACATCTGACCCAAGTCCTACTCAGGGTACACTTGTCCCAAGTCCTACTCAGGGTACACCTGACCCAAGTCCTACTCAGGAGTCAGCAGACCCAAGTCCTACTCAGGGCTCACCTGACCCAAATCCTACTCAGGAGTCACCTGACCCAAGTCCTACTCAGGGCTCACCTGACCCAAGTCCTACTCAGGAGTCACCTGACCCAAGTCCTACTCAGGGCTCACCTGACCCAAGTCCTACTCAGGAGTCACCAGACCCAAGTCCTACTCAGGAGTCACCAGACCCAAGTCCTACTCAGGAGTCACCAGACCCAAGTCCTACTCAGGGCCAACCTGACACAAATCCTACTCAGGGTACACTTGTCCCAAGTCCTACTCAGGGTACATCTGACCCAAGTCCTACTCAGGGTACACTTGTCCCAAGTCCTACTCAGGGTACACCTGTCCCAAGTCCTACTCAGGAGTCAGCAGACCCAAGTCCTACTCAGGAGTCACCAGACCCAAGTCCTACTCAGGGCTCACCTGACCCAAGTCCTACTCAGGAGTCAGCAGACCCAAGTCCTCCTCAGGAGTCACCAGACCCAAGTCCTACTCAGGGCTCACCTGACCCAAGTCCTACTCAGGAGTCAGCAGACCCAAGTCCTACTCAGGAGTCGCCAGACCCAAGATTGCTACACTCACCCTGATTGGCCAGTTGCTGGCCAGGTAGCTGTACTAAATAGGGATGACCCTGGTACTACACTCACCCTGATTGGCCAGTTGCTGGCCAGATAGCTGTGTGATATAGGGATGACCTGCCACTGCTTGTTGCCGATGAACACATTGCCTAGAAGACATGAGGTGTTGTTGCGTATGTGCTGAGGGTTATGATGGTGGTGGTGATGATGGTGATGGTGACTAGACGTCCGGGAGATGGTGTCTCCAGTACTCATGTATAGCTTATCCTCCCCTTGGAGAAATACATGTTCATGGTTGGCCTGTAACATAAACAGAGGAACCAATAGAGATCATGCTACATACAGGGTTGATGGTTTACTTACACCTTGATCCACCTACAAGGGTTAACTACCACACATATTGCAACATATATGGGTCGTTTGTTTGTTGTTAAATGCCACACTTAACAATCTGCGAATTACAATTCAGGCATGTAAACAACTGAACCTAGACCAGACAGTGCTGTCTGCTCCATTATGTTGCCTCTTACAACATGCATAGGTTGTTGGGAGTCAGTTTTACTTGGAATCCCCTCAGGGACATGCAAGGGTTGACTGAAAAACACTCACCATGCATGGGTTAAGTGACAAACTACTCACTGTGCATGAGTTGGCTGATAAACTACTCACCATGCACAGGTTGAGTGACAAACTACTCAGTGGGTTGACTGACAAACAATTTACAATACATGGGTTGACTGACAAACCACTCACCACACATGGTGTGAGTGACAAACAACTCACCATGCATGGTTGACTAACAAACAACTCACAATGCATGGGTTGACTGACAAAAAAACTCACCATGCATGGGTTGACTGACAAACAACTCACCATGGATGGGTGACTAACAAACAACTCACCATGCATGGGTTGACTGACAAACAACTGACCATGCATGGGTTGACTGACAAACAGCTCACCATGCATGGGCGACTAACAAACAATTCACCATGGATGGGTTGACTCAGAAATTACTTATAATGCATCAGTTCATTGACAAAACACTCACCATGCATGGGTTGAGTGACAAACAGCTCACTATGTATGGGTTGACTGACAAACAACTCACCATGCATGGGTTGACTGACAAACAACTCACCATGGATGGGTTGACTGACAAAACACTCACCATGCATGGGTTGACTGACAAACAGATCACTATGTATGGGTTGACTGACAAACAACTCACCATGCATGGGCTGACTGACAAACAACTCACCATGGATGGGTGACTAACAAACAACTCACCATGCATGGGTTGACTGACAAACAACTCACCATGGATGGGTGACTAACAAACAACTAACCATGCATGGGTTGACTGACAAACAACTGACCATGCATGGGTTGACTGACAAACAGCTCACCATGCATGGGTGACTAACAAACAATTCACCATGGATGGGTTGACTCAGAAATTACTTATAATGCATCAGTTCATTGACAAAACACTCACCATGGATGGGTTGACTGACAAAACACTCACCATGCATGGGTTGACTGACAAACAGCTCACCATGGATGGGTTAACTGACAAACAACTCACCATGCATGGGCTGACTGACAAAACACTCACCATGCATGGGTTGGACTGACAAAGCATTCGCAATGCATGGGTTGACTAATATACTACACAACACGCATAGGTTGACTGACAAACTACTTACTGTGCATGGGTTCACTGAAAAATTACTCACCAGGCATGGGTTGACTGACAACTATTCACCAGGCATGGGTTGACTGACAAACTACTTACCGTACATAGGTTGACTGAAAAATTACTCACCAGGCATGGGTTGACTGATAAAATACTCACTATGCATTGGTTGACTGACAAAACACTCACTATCCACGGGCTGACTGACAAACAACTTACCATGCATGGGTTGACAGACAAAACACTCATTATCCATTGGTTGACTGACATATAACTCACCACACATGGGTTGACTGACAAAACACTCATTATCCATTGGTTGACTGAAAAACAACTCACCACACATGGGTTGACTGACAGCTACTCACCATGCATGGGTTGACTGATAGGGCACTCTTGAGGAACTGGAACTGCAACAGAACTGACTTGTGACACTGTTGGTAGATCCCCTCCCCATTCTCCAGGCCCTCCCCTTCCTTCTCCTGGGACACGCCTCCTTCGCATTGGTTAGAAATCATCCACAGATGGTAGCCCTCTAGACCCCACTCCTGAAATCAAAGAGAAACACTGAATGAACCACATGTCTTTATCTTCAACCAGATCTCGTCAGTATGAGCTACGGTTTATTTTTTTTTATCAGCCAGCTGGCATAGCAGCACATGTGTTGCTCATGGACACGTTTGTTGTTAAGAGCTGCATAAACAGAGCAGAGCTTCTAAATAATTCACAAGCCAGTGATTAACTAATGATCAAGGCCCACGTCCTCCACCTATGATTACACACAATGAACCAAGTAACAGCGCCTGGTCACCCCTTCCATTTAGACACTGGCATTAGACAAGCTTAGGTTGCTGGGATCAACCCCCAAAACCCCACAGGGAGCGGCACTTATGGAACCTGTCATATTCAAAGTTTGTCACCCATAAAGTGGTCTGCTATGTCCCATAGTGTTTATGACATACCCCTCTGAAGACTCACCATAGACTTGACAGAGGAAGGGTACAGGTGAATGCCATCCAAAGGGGAGCTGGAAGAAAACAGTGACCAAATGAGACATTTAAAAATATCTGACTGCAGTTTCCAGATATCTTACAGTTTGTTCATCACCACCACCACCACCATCATCATCATCATCATCATCATCATGTAGTTAAAATATCTTGAAACTAACAAGGGCAAGGTCTCTCTCCTGTGACGTTTTTGCAACTATTACAATACTGTAGTTAGGCCAGAATATTTAGTCTTCCATCACAATGAGAATGTTTTGCTGCTACATCTTGGCTGAACCTGAAGTCTGGACCTGACAAACAATTCATATCACTGAGCTACAATATGTGGGTAAGCCAGTCTGGAACAAACACCCTAGTGACTGGATACATGACCACCACAGTGAGCACTAGATCCAATAAGTCGCTCCTCACAACCAGCAGATGGTGCTACAGACAAATCATAACCCCGAACCTCCAGGGGTACCCGTTTTAGCTTCTTGTTATGAGTACCAGTGGCATGCAACGGACACATTCAACCCCAAGTCCCCTACAGATATTCACTGTTAGTATGTGTTGTGTAAATAGGTACAAGAGTTTGGCTTTACACCAGAATCGTTAAGATTTGCAGCTATATCTTGGCCATAGCCTGATCAAGTGGGGACCAGACAAACCATTGGCTGACAATAGGAACAACAATCCTTATCTTGACTCACACATAAATGTCGTTTTCTGATTGGCTGAGCGGTCTTCTATTATTTTGAATGTACCCCGCTTACAAGCCAGTAACATTTTCTATGTACCCTGCTGGGAATGCCGAACGCATTTGGTACTTCGTAGTAGTAATTCTTCATCTCGAATAACATTGAATGACGTATGATGTACGGAAATTACCGATGTTTTGCAAATGCAAATCGATGGAAGGGAGATAACTCTAAATTGTTTTTCTTGTCGTCTGGTATTCTGGTACTATGATCTGATACCCGTGCTTCAAACAGTTCAAAATTACCATTGAGGTGTTCGGTAAGATAAATACGTTGGTCACTGGTCCCTCGGGGCCCATGGGTTGATGTACCCTCAATGTTTCTTTATGTTCCCCTCGCCCTTCAGGTACATCAGCCCATGTCCCCCGCGAGACCAGTGAAGAACTTATAACGTGACTGAGATACAATATCATCCCAGCCTACTTCCCTGTTTTACTTCCTCCCGATTGGTAAAGATAGACTCACCTGTAATCACCACCTAGTGTACAGACTAGCAATGCCCCAAACACACTCCACAAGGAGAAGCCACCGTTCTTCCAGGTGAGAGCAATGGCAGTGCCATCTGGTGTCCACTTCATGCACTGCACAGAGCCAGCAATGGTGGCAGCATCTGAACATATAGTGTGTTATATAATGAATAGTGTTGTCATTTGTGTAGTGTTATTATCATGCAATGGATACCGTTATTATCATGTTATGGGATCTAATGAAGCAACCAAACAAATATGCAAGACAACTTGCAGGAACTCCCATAAGTGTTATACATCAACCAGTGATTGTCAGCAAAGAAAGAGTAATTCACCATCAAGGGACACAATGACGTACCTGGGTAGTCCCTGCTAGAGATGACTAGTTTATGTGAGATTTCCAGCGCTCCAACAACTTCATCTATCATGTACACAATCCCCTCACCACTGAAACAAAGAACATGCTGCAAGTTACCATTCCTAGTTGCCATGTGTTGTACACAATACAAGACAAGCAGCTGCCACCCAAACATATTATAACTGTTGTGAGCATCATGTCATCATGACCTTAAAGACTCAACATGTTATATTTTAATATTACACTTTCTCAGTAAAGTACAGATTCTAGTACTTTTGTCAGGTTGAGTCCCATCCAGGATTTGAACCCACCCTCTCAGAGTCAGGCACCTAATAACCCACTCAGCGACCATGGCTTCTTATAGATTTATCCAGGATTCCTAGTGTCCTTCACAGACAAATTTGGGAAAAATCATCCTCTTGTTCAAAATGGTCACAGAAATACAAGTCACTTCTACAATGTCATTACATTAGTTACTTCTATATAATATGAACTGGAAGAGTTGTAATTTCAGTTTGTGGAACATTTACTGACATATGCTGAAGATTTAGGGCTGAACATTAGCCATTGATCAGTTCTAGACAAACCCTTGATTCTCACTCTGAAGCTTCACTGAGGGCACATCAACACGAAGTACAGCAATTCTGCCCTGTTGTCAAATTTATCCCTCATGTTTCCCAACTGCAGAATCCTGCTGATCTTACCTTTTACATCCAAATGCTATAAGCCTGTATCTGTGGTTGACGGCCAGAGAGGTAGCATTTGACAGATCTTCGCCCAAACACCATGAGCACTCTGAAAATACAGCACATGCTCAAGTTGCTTCACATACTGACAACACTGCATCTGGCTCACAGACCAGAGAGACAAAAGGCTGTTCTCATTTAGTTACAATAGAATAATTGTGATTATATAATGGGCCTTTTCAATGTACAAGGCACTTGCTCAAAGCGCTAACACACAATCTGATTATTATTACCCAGGATAACCAAAGCTGCCTGAGGCGCTAGAAGGTTAATAGTCACATGACTTATCCCACCAGGTACCCATTTTGTCCTGGGTGAACAGAGGCAAGTTTGAACAAACTCACTTGCCTAAGGTGAGACCACATGTAGCACATGTGCATTGTTGTATGGCAGGACTGAAGTCCTAGAAATTCTCAGGAGTCAAGCTGCCAAACACGGTCACCCATCCCAGGACTCTCCACTCCCAACATTGCTTAACTTCAACTGTTTTGTGACCTGAACTCTACGCACAGGACCACACACCACCACCTGCTCTCCACATACTGTGAACAGTACATCACCTGTCCACCCCATTTCCAATCTACCTGATCTAGTTCAATCACATTAAATGACTGTGAACCACAAACATCACCTGCCCCATATTTCCCCATCTTGTTCCAACTGGTTCACTCACAGTCAACCACCCACCAACCCAGTCCCTCTCAATCTAGTTAAAACTGGTTGACACACCATGACACATGCATCACCTCATCATCATCATAATAATAACAATAATCACCATCATCATCACCACCACCATCATCATTATAAACACCACCATCATCATCATCATCATCACCATCATCATCATCATCATCATCATCAACTCACAGTTTTCTCTGATCTTGATGAAGGAGGAATGACAAAGATGGCCTTGCCACTAGACAGCACCATGCTGTATCCTCCCAGAGTGGGGCTGTACTCCATGTGAACCACGTAGCCATCACTGTCTGTCAGCTTGGAGGCTGCAACACACAGCAGCAGCACCTACTTAGTCAACGCCCAAACACCCAAAGCTTCAAACTGTACATAAAGTCAGTTCACATGTATAATCTATACACCAAACATGCTAAATGGAGAAATCATATTAACAAATATATATAAAATTAAATTCATAATTAATATAAACAAATAACTGACTTGTTGAGGCGACTTAAAATTGGTGTACAAATCATAACTACAAAGAGAACATGGATTTACTATTGGATCTTGCATGCACTTTACACAACTTAAGGATAATCTGTCGAACATGATAACACATGTCCTAATGTTGAAGGATACATAGCAGCCATGAGTGTCATGCTGTGTGGTATACAGACATCATGGGCTGGCTAGTCTGGGAGGATCTAGCACAAGGAGGTCATCTGTCACATGCTATATACCAATATGATATCAAAAAAACAATTTGGGTATGCAAAATGTTCTACAGAGAGTTAGACTAAGCTTGGTTGATACAACAATGAATCCATCAAAAGTCAATGCTCATACAGTTTCTGCCATGTTCAAGGCATTTTATAAACTTTTAGGAGGAGTCAAATTTACAACATATCCAAGGTCTGACTGCCCAATTCAGTGAAAACCTTGCTCACACATGGTCAAATTACAAAACTAAATTAATTTGTATTAATCCATCAATCTACAGACTCCACATGACCTTAGGGAGACAATTAAGGGGGAAAGGGTGGCCAGGTGGTCCAGGTTGTCTAAGGAGCAAAAAACGTGCTGTGAGAGACCATGTCAGGATGTGCTGATCTCGGGTTTGAATCCCAGATTTCCTAAGTTTGGCAGCATCAAACCTGTTAAGGTCATCAGCAATTAATAGAAGTATGTAAAATGACTTTCTGTCCTTGAAGTTTTTTCTGAAATAGTCCATGAATAAATATCTTCTGATAATGATGAAACTTTCAGGAAAAAAATTCATTTTTCTTTTCAGAAACTTCAACAGAATTATTAACTTCATTTACTCATTTACAAACTAAGCTGACAAGCAGTGATATGACTGTTCAGAAAAAATACCTCTTGAACTCATTCAGTTAAATATCTTTTATAATACCCAAAGTGACATTTTTCCTTTTACAATGCAAGGAGATATCTACTGAAACCAACAGATCAAGTTGTTTTTGTGACTTTGGATAGGAAGAAGGACTGGTTGGCAGGTGACTGTAGGAAGTAGGACCTTGGACAACACACCTTCACACCAGCTCACAGGACACACCTGATGAACTCATTAATACAATGTCACACAATACAGCAGCGATGGAACACGTTATCACAATGTTAGTAGGCAGGTGAGTGCATATACAAGCATGATCAATGAATAAAGCATATAAATATATGTTAATATTATTATCAGCAAAACATTCCATGTTATGAGCATATAAACATATTACTGTTAGCATGACAGATGAAACAGTATGAGTTGCCTCCCTTTTATGCCCTCATTAATGGAGAAGCCCTTTTCAACACAGACCATAATGTAGACAGCGTTGTTGGTGATTTATCACACACCTAAACTGAAATCTTGAATCTTTCCAGGCTTGAGGCAAACTCACCGTGTTGATAGATCAGGGATAAGTTATATCCCACAATCACAATACAATAGCTTATCTCAGAACCTGTATCACAACACCAGATTACACAGCCCTAATGCTGTTCCCTGCATGGATAGATACAATCTACAGGTCTACTAAAACTGTCTGTAAGATAGTAATTCAGTCTAAACAATCTAGGTAGCATTAGTAGAATAGACACTGTTCTCAATTTTGGCTGTAGACTCATGGTCACAGTTACATCACTACTTCATTAGAATTACAGATGAAGTCCATCAACGCTGACATCCAACAACAAAATAATTATCAGGGCATCAAACCATGTAATATAACATGGAAACAGCATTTTGCAGATGACTGGTCATAACAAACCCTCAATTTAAACTAAAAAAGCTTTCAGGCCACAACAAATTCATTAGTTGTTTATCTGATAATTTGGTCAAGCCTTACGGGGGTGGTAATGGTCATAGCATAAACAGAAATAACAAAATATGAAAAAAGACTTCTCATGACAGAGTACATTGACTCAGTATTTAACAAAAGCAGTAACACCATGAACATACAATTAGCGTCCACTGAGTTTGTCATTATTCTTTCCCAATACTTGTCTGAAGGATTTTATTTCTAATGCTGAGATATCTATGACCATTTGAGCTTCAACATTAAACCAACAACAAAATGTCGATATGTATATCTGAAAATGATGATTTTGATGAAGAATTAGTGGATTTGTTGTGGCCTAATAGAAACATATGTACCTTCTTGCTCTGTTCCACAAAACTACCTCACACTTACAACTATCCCATGTTCATGATTACACATGCTACAACAGTTGGTGTGTAAGGACCGTCTTGTGGGACAGGGCCCAGAACAAGATTCAAACTCAACTGAGTCAATCAACAAAGGGAGACAACTCACGGATTTTACAACCTTGCACTGAAAAAACATGCACTGAACATTAGCTTCCAACTCCATGCAAAGCTATTCCATTCACCAACAAAATCCTAATCATTCATCATTCGGTGCTGTTTACACAATGAAATTACCGGGACTGGGTGTGGTTCCGTTGGGCCAATTCCACTGGGGGCAAGCTCAAAAACAGATGGGCATATTCAAATAGCATTTCAATCTAGATCTTTGTGAACAAAACCAAATAAAAATCTCTCTCATTATCCACAATGATGAAATATTCCATAACATAAAACATTTCTTCTCGACGATATATTTACCATTCATATTTAGGTTATGAGGAAGAGAGAAAACTGAAAATGCTGAGACAAAACTTCTTGAAGATGATCAACTCCTCATAACTGAATTATCAAAATGTGTCTTCTTCTGAACATAAATAAAACAGATTTTAAGCACATGTTTAACAAACCCACCCCACCCTACCCCTAACCTCCTTAGCACAAAGCAGAGGCAGTCTACACAAGCTCAAGGACGTGAAAGGCATATGTTGACCAAAACCTTAAACTTCGTGAAAAGCTTTGCATGGCATGATCCTAAATAAGATCCTGAGAATGAACAAATCCTTTATCATGTTAATGTGTAAATTGATTGGTTTTAAGTTGGAACAACTAATTATAAAAAGTGAAAATTAGTGGCATATTACTTTCTTTCTAGATAAATAGCTAGCTTTAGACAGTGGTAAAGTGATGTGATATTAACAGCAGAATGTACAAGGTTATGATGAAATGGACACCTTACTGACATGTGACAAAAGTGACAGATGGAGACATGAAATGCATGACTGTCAGTTTATCAACTGTATGTCAATTACCATGGTTACATGATCATATAAAAGCACAATGAAAGGTACAAGTGTTATTTTTACTATAACTTGAAACTAGCTGGCAGGGAGGGTTTTCACACAAGACAATCTATGACCCATTTTTATGCTAACATGTAAGAGATATGCCTCCATATATGATTAGTATAAATATAGCCACTTGTCATTGTTTGTTTATCACATGAATATGTCAATAATTCTAAAGGCTTTATCAGTATCTCTTTAAGTTAAATGGGTACATCAACCTCTCTTTGAAGTTTCTTTTATTAATTAAATTATTTAACATATGTGGCTGGTGCAAAAGAGAAAAATCTCTAAGTTCATAATTTGTGAATGTTCTTGGTCACTGAAGGTGAAATGCATATGTATATTACACAAAAGATATAGCCTGATATTCTACTACACTAAATGTTATATCAGCCTTTATTACTGGTAGTAACATTGTCTCTCTTTCTGCCCAATAGTGATATTAGCAGTTCAGTCTTCTCCACGTACAGTTGGATCCTCTAGTGAAAACAATCTCACAGCAGACAAAAGTGGTAGGTCACACTGACATTCCCTATGTAATGCGGGGTTCCACAGAGTGACGCACCCTACCTCTAAACTGCTGCAGGTCCGTGGAGACTGGGATATCACGCAGATGCAATGTAGCTTTGTCATTCTTGTTGCCGCTCCAGCGTACCCGGTTTAGATAGCCATCTGCCGTGCTCACCACCAGCTCATCTCGGACACATAGACAGCTGAAACAAGACACTCAGAGTGCTGAAATATATACTTGGAGTGCTGAAATATATACTCAGAGTGCTGAAATTTATACTCGCAGTGCTAAAACAGACACTAAGACAGCTGAAACAAGACACTCAGAGTGCTGAAATATATACTCAGAGTGTTAAAACAGACACATAGACAGCTGAAACAAGACCCTCAGAGTGCTGAAATATATACTCGGTGTGCTGAAATATATACTCGGAGTGTTAAAACAGACACATAGACAGCTGAAACAAGACCCTCACTCGGCTGAAACCGATCATCAGGCAGCTGAAACAGACAGTCACTGAGCTAAAACTGACATTTAGACAGCTGAAACAAAGACACTCAGAGTGCTGAAACATATTCAGAAAGCTAAAACAGACACGTAGTGAGTTAAAGCTGATACTAAGACAGCTGAAACAAGACCCTCAGAGAGCTAAAACAGACACTTAGAGAGCAATAAGAGACTCTCAGAGAGCTAAAACAGACTCTCAGAGAGCTAAATCTGATGCTCAGAGAGTAAAATCAGAGAGCTGCTAAAGCTGACACACATATATACAACAACAACTACACTGTACCCCTTCTGCTTCCCCTAGCACTTCTGGCAACTTTAAAAATTCATACAAATATTGAATATGCAACCCTAACTTCTTTTGAGTAGTATACTTTGCTTGAAATATACCAGACATTGTTGAACTCAAAGTTTCAAATTATCAGTCATGTGAAAGAGAAAGGATGAAAGGCGTCTTTTTCATGTTAAATGTTTAGATGAACTCAAGTAAGTTCTTTTCATTGATTAAATTACTTGGCAGATGTGGCAGGTACAAAAATAGAAATAAAACAAATTGCTATCGTCTTCATAAAATCATGATAAACATGATGACAGCAACAAAAATGTTGTTGTTGAAATGTGACATTTTAATACCTGTTGCCATTAAGGTCAGCAGATGACATTATTCAGTGACACTGGCAACAAACCCTGCATCACTATCAGCTGATACATGCCTAAGTCTTGACAGGCCTTCTCAAGTGAACATGTAAGGAATTATTGAACATGTAAGGAATTATTCAAATGAATTCATAAATATCTTTGCACTGTTTGGAAAGATATCCAATGTCATTCTCCATCAAACCACACCTGTATTCTATGTTGTTACATTTCACAGCTTTGACAGGTGTGAATTTCAGGTGTCTCAACAATAACCCTCCAGCTGTGTACCAGTGTATATCATTACAGAACAGGTTTCTCAAGTGTCAGGCACTTCAGTTTTATGAGTGTGTCGTGCATATCATAAGAAATGCTGTCAAAATTGGGTTTATTAGGTAATTATGATGTATGTCATCATCATATTTTTAATCACACCTGATCATCACTCAAATTAGTGTTGAGTTGGGAAGGGAAACATGAATAACCTGAATACAAATTACTGATAAACTGCACAATTTTAGTTAAAAGGTGAATCTGTTGAAACTCACAATTAAACACTAATTTGACAATACATCATAGACATTTAACACTATTTACCATAACAGGAAACTACAAAAGACATGATTAAATTACAACCATGATTTCAAGTGAAGCCCCAACAACTTGATCTAGTCCAAAATGCAAGTACACAAATATCTCAGGTAGAGCTATTGATAGAAACGTAAATATATCTTGACAGTATTCATAACTACTCCAGATGTGGGTCAGGGAAATAAGATGATTGACTGCCTGTAGGACTGGGTGTGCTACCCCTGCAGGGCAGATACAGAGGAGCCCCCCGCCCTGATCCTACAGTGTCTGGTAGTTTGTTTGTCAGTATCTAGGGAAAAGGCGTTGTATTCCCCATTGAGAGGGCAGGGATGAGGTGTCCCCCTTCAGAGGGCAGGGACAAGGTGTCACCCTTCAGGGGGCAGGGATAGGGGGAGACATTCCCATTGAAAAGGAAGGGACAAAACGATCCCGGTTAAGGAGATGGGGCAAGGTGTTCCCCTAGAAGGATAGGGGCGATGTGTTTCCCTTCTGGGTCAGAGGCAAGGCAATCTCTTCAGGAGGCGAGACCCTACAAGGGTCAGGGGCAGGGCATTAACTTCATGCAGTAAGGTGTTCGGTGTTCCCCTACAAGGGTAGGGGCGAGGATTTACTACAAGGATAGGAGCAAGACATTCGACTACAAGGGTAGGGGTGTGGCGATCCACAACCGGGATAGGGGCAAGACATTCAACTACAAGGGTAGGGGAGAGGCGTTTCCCTTCAATTGTCAGGGGCAAGGCGTTTCCCTTCTAGGGTCAAGGTTTCCCTACAATAAACAAATTCACTTCAAGGAAGTCAACACAGAATGATCATGCTGTCACTGAATTCAATTGGCACAATTTTATGCTTGAGTAAACAATGTCAGTTTATCACTACAGCTAAGGGCTATGACGGAAATACATCACGGACAAGCTGAAAGGTGCTTGAGAGTTATAGTTATAATATAGTCATGTTGTGTTCAGAGGGCTGTTCTAGTAGGATCTATGTCAAACATTTTGAAAGGACAAGTACAGCCATAAATGACTCTTCTTTGCTCAAGTCAAAAAGAGATGGGCAAAGTAAATGCACAGGTTTTCTTTTCCTAGTTATGTTTACTTACAACAGAAGCTATGCGCTGTACATTTACAAAACCCACATTATCAAGTAAAGAGTATACTTGATACTCACATTTGCTCATCTAGATGTATCAGTGCCTGCCTTTCACATGATGATTCACATGAAAGATTTGCAACTTCATAACATACCATTTACTATTCATATATTGTGAGACACAAAATATGTAAATAATGAAGGTCAAGATATATTCATGATTGTATCATTATCTTCCTTACTAGAAAGCAACTCATTTTTTTTAATTTTCCCTGAACAGAAACAATTCACTGGAGCCAAAAGCCACAATCAGAAATCAAAATAACACAGTTTAAATCTGTTTCTTGGCAAACTGACACAGATGCAGCTACAAAAGTCATACAATTTTCTAAGCAACAATATATCCTGTGTGTTGTATGTTGTGGACTCATTAGCCACCTCAGAAATAACTACATATGGTCAGCAAAACATTGTGTCCACTGTGGAATGATGACAAAAACATGTCTACAACTCAATAATAGTTCGTTTGTTGCTTTATACTCCACTCAACAATATTCCAGCTATCTGTAAATAATCAAGTCTGGACCAGATAATCAAGTGACTGACAGCATGAGCAGTAACCCACCCACCCGGAATGTGATGACACGCCACCGAGTCACCAAGCCTGACCACACAACCCATTCAGTCGCCTCTTACGACACACCTAGGTTGTGGGGGACCTGTATTCTTACCAGATCTCCCAGTCACCTCACAGACACATTACCTACAGGTTTCCAGGAGTCTGTTCAGACTTACCAGGAGATGTTATCTGATAGCTGTATCTGTGACACCCAGGACACTTTCAGGGCAGGAACACTGTCGCTGTCTAGGATGCCGTTGATGTTGTGACGTGGTGTTGGAATACTTCTGAAAACAGTAAGACACTTGAATGATGCTGTGATTACATAAAGTTCATGCATTACAGGGATGAATCGATGTCTGATATCTGTATCAGAATATGTTCATTGATTTAGTGTATCACAGGGCAGAAATTGTTTTTTGCATCAGCACTACAATCTTGAATCAATTCATCTATGACTGCATCACAGGGCTGAATTACTTCATTGAAGTCTGTATCAAATGGGGGGGTGGGGTAGCCTAGTGGTTAAAGCGTTCGCCAGTCACGCCGCCGAAGGCTCTGGTTCAATTCCCAACATGGATACCATGTGTGAAGCCCATTTCTGGTGTCCCCTGCTGTGATATTGATGGAATATTGCTAAAAGCGGCATAAAACTAAACTCACTCACTCACTGTATCAAATGGTTGAATCAATTGATTAACATACCCCAGTATTCATCAGCTGACTGACACTATTCCTAGATGTCTGTATAACAGGACTGATTCAATTCAGTTGATAAAGTGTATTACAGGGATAAATAAATTCACTCATGTTGTGTATTATAGGGATGAATCAATACATTAATGTTCATATTTATACAGATAAATAAATTCACTGATGACCATATCACAGGGTCCATTCACTGATGTCTGTATCTGATGGTTGAATAAATTCATTAACATTTGCACACAGTGCTTGACACAGTTCATTGATGTTTGTATAACAGGGCTAGCACTGAAGTAATTTATATGATGAACTGCAGGGCTAAAACTATATTGCTGTCTATACAACATCAATTAATGAGTGTAGTGTATTAGAATAGAATGCTATATAAATAATGATATTATTGATTTGCCTTTGGACAACATTGCTACTAAAATTAAGATGACATTTACACAACTCTCTAAACCGCGAATCGTTTATGTACATACAAGAGTGAGAGAGTGAATACTGTTTGAACATAGATTGAATGTATTTGAGTGTTGTTGTACACAGTTCAGGTCAGACCAGCCTGTGGTTGACATCATGAAGGGTTGCCTGACATTGTGACCTACTGATCCTCATTGTGCATTTGCTGTGTACCTCTGTCATCTACCAACACGGCAGTGGGGTAGCCTAGTGGTTAAAGTGATTGCTCATCATGCCAAAGGCCTGGATTTGATTCCCCACATGGGCACAATGTGTGAAGACCATTTCTGGTGTCCCCCGCCATGATATTGCTGAAATTTTGCTAAAAGCAGCGTAAAACTCAGCTCAGCTCAACTCACTCACTTGTCTACCAACATACACCACTTGCCCAGACTATCATTTTGCATTTTAGTTGTCCATGGATGAATTAAAATGCCTCTAAAACAATTAAATGAAATATCTACAGATAAATTGTAATTCATCCCTTCTTCTGAATGCATTTTTAGAATTATTTTCAAAAAATGTGGATAGATATCACTCGGGATATTCTGGTTTATCATTGTCAGATATGATTTATTTTCACTGAAAAGAAAATTGTTTTCCAGTTCCTGTTGGCTCAAACATAAACACCTGAGAAAAGATATGATATACAGTCTAAAAGAGGAATCTGATATTTCACATGTAACTGAAACACTAAAAATCTGAAAGAGTGACGATCTACCCTTCTACAGTATTTCCATTATTCAATTTCTGTGCCCTGACACCAAGCATATAGCATGTCACACTGACAACCTATTAACACTATATCATGATTCACCCCCATTCATTAGAAGCTCCCTTAGCTGCAACGCCCCAATACCCTGCTTGTCTACAGCATGTGAATTACATTGTAACACCTCATGTTCCTATACCCCTGCCTATTGCCCTACACAGTACCCTCACCTTCCTATACCCTTGTCTGTACCATGTGAATTACATTGTAACACCTCACCTTCCTATACCCTTGCCCATTGCCCTACACAGTAACCTCACCTTCCTATACCCTTGCCTATTGCACTACACCATAACCTCACCTTCCTATACCCTTGCCTAATGCCCTACACCATAACTTCACCTTCCTATACCCTTGCCTATTGCCCTACACAGTAACCTCACCTTCCTATACCCTTACCTATTGCACTACACCATAACATCACCTTCCTATACCCTTGCCTATTGCCCTACACAGTAACCTCACCTTCCTATACCCTTGCCTATTGCCCTACACAGTAACCTCACCTTTCCCTACCCTTACCTATTGTAACCCCACCTTCCTATACCCTTGCCTATTGCCCCTATACTGTAACCTCACCTTCCTATACCCTTGCCTATTACCTACACACAGTAATTCCTATACCCTTGCCTGCACTACACAGTAACCTCACCTTCCTATACCCTTGCCTATTGCACTACACCATAACATCACCTTCCTATACCCTTGCCTATTGCCCTACACTGTAACCTCACCTTCCTATACCCCTGCCTATTGCCCTACACTGTAACCTCACCTTCCTATACCCTTGCCTATTGCACTACACCATAACCCCACCTTCCTATACCCTTGCCTATTGCCCTACACTGTAACCCTCACCTTCCTATACCCTTACCCTTGCTACAGTAATGCCCTACACCATAACTTAACACCTCACCTTCCTATACCCCTTGCCTATTGCCCTACACTGTAACCTCACCTTCCTATACCCTTGCCTATTGCACTACACCATAACATCACCTTCCTATACCCCTTGCCTATTGCCCTACACAGTAACCTCACCTTCCTATACCCCTGCCTATTGCCCTACACAGTAACCTCACCTTCCTATGCCCTTACCTATTGCACTACACCATAACCCCACCTTCCTATACCCTTTCCTATTGCCCTATACTGTAACCTCACCTTCCTGTACCCTTACCTATTGCCCTACACAGTAACCTCACCTTCCTATACCCTTGCCTATTGCACTACACAGTAACATCACCTTCCTATACCCTTGCCTATTGCCCTACACTGTAACCTCACCTTCCTATACCCTTGCCTATTGCACTACACCATAACCTCACCTTCCTATACCCTTGCCTATTGCCCTACACTGTAACCTCACCTTCCTATACCCTTACCTATTGCACTACACCATAACATCACCTTCCTATACCCTTGCCTATTGCACTACACCATAACCTCACCTTCCTATACCCTTGCCTATTGCACTACACTGTAACCTCACCTTCCTATACCCTTACCTATTGCCCTACACACTGTAACCTCACCTTCCTATACCCTTGCCTATTGCCCTACACAGTAACCTCACCTTCCTATACCCCTGCCTATGGCACTACACCAGTAATCACCCATCACCTTCCTATACCCCTGCCTACCCCTACACTGTAACCTACACTGTAACCCTCACCTTCCTATACCCTTGCCTATTGCACTACACTGTAACCTCACCTTCCTATACCCTTACCTATTGCCCTACACTGTAACCTCACCTTCCTATACCCTTGCCTATTGCCCTACACAGTAACCTCACCTTCCTATACCCACCTTTGCCTGCCTATTGCCCTACACAGTAACCTGCCACCTTCCTATACCCTTGCCTATTGCCATCACCTTCCTACACAGTAACCTCACCTTCCTATATACCCTTACCTATTGCACTACACAGTAACCTCACCTTCCTATACCCTTACCTATTGCCTTACACCTCCCAGTAACCTCACCTTCCTATACCCTTGCCTATTGCCTATTGCCCTACACAGTAACCTCACCTTCCTATACCCCTTACCTATTGCCTACACACAGTAACCTCACCTTCCTATAGTTTGCCTATTGCACTACACAGTAACCTCACCTTCCTATACCCTTGCCTATTGCCTGTAACACACAGTAACCTCACCTTCCTATACCCTTACCTATTGCCTACACAGTAACCTCACCTTCCTATACCCCTCTACCTACTGTACACCTACCTTGTAACCTCACCTTCCTATACCTTCCTATACCCTTGCCCTACTAACATCACCTATTGCCCTACACAGTAACCCCACCTTCCTTATACCCTTACCTATTGCCCTACACTGTGACCTCACCTTCCTATAGTTTGCCTATTGCCCTACACAGGAACCACACCTTCCTATACCCCTTTGTCTATTGCCCCACACAGTAACCTCACCTTCCCTTACCTACCTCCCACCTTTGCCTATTGCCCTACACAGTAACCTCACCTTCTATACCCCTTCTCACACAGTAACCCTCTACCTTCCTATAGCCTTACCTATTGCACTACACCATAACCTCACCTTCCTATAAGTCCCTTGCCTATTGCCCTACACAGTAACCTCACCTTCCTATACCCTTGCCTATTGCCCATAAATTCCACTGTAACCAAACCTTCCTATATCCGGGTATTGCAAGTCAATTACACTGTCAACTCACCTTCCTTCTTGCTGTACATACAAACAGTTGTGGTTGGACACTGAGATGTCAATTTCCACTTTGAAGAACAAAACATAGCACTTTGTGGTCTGTAATAGAGAAACAACATCTGGCTCAGAACTCCGTGTTTACATCAAATACGTCAACAAATACACTAAGCCTACATAGATTACTGCTATGTGTGTCAGGGAGGTGATAGACAGCTGGCTTTGAAATGCGATATTTTCACATCCATGATTAAGTTCACTGCGATTTTAAAACAGTGTGTAACCTTGGAACTTTGATGCACATGATAAATCTACTTTAGAGGTTCTTGAAAAGTCCTGATTCTTACATACCACAAAGGGACGGAGTTTCTGTCTACAGAAAGGTGTATCTAATACTATCTATGTCACTTAGTATTATCAGTTATATTTCAGGTGTGTGATGTAATCTTTATAATCTGGGGACTTACAGAAGGGTTCCATACAAGAAGAAATTACTCCCATACTTTAAGGCTCACAAAACAAATTGGGACATTTTCATTCAAATGTTCAAAATTTAATTTTTGTGGTTCTGTATTTCATATACATGTTTCTAACATAACATTAATTGTTACATGTTCATCAACAGATTCCTTTCACTGGAACTTGCTATATCTTACTAAGCAAAATGTTTAATTAATCTATACACTATCAAGAACATACGCATTCCACTTTAAAGATATGAATATCATTTGAAGAAAAAATTCTAAGTCATGATATTTTTTCTGAGGTACAAGTTATGTATGATATCAAAAGCCATGAGAAAGCAGGTGTATGTGAAGTGTATTTGACATTGGTCAGGTAATCATGGTGATGGAATTCCCAAAGTTGACATAGACATGTTGATACAAAAACATGAAGAGTGAGAGTTATCTGCCCTTACAATGACAGCCAGCATGGAAGAGTCCTGCTTCCATTCTGCCTGACAATATCCTCCATATTCTTCCAGCTGCTTCTGTGACAGACTGTGACTTACTATCTGTATTGAGGGCTGAAAAAAACCAAAAATATATTTCAGATAGAAGATACTATAAAGTAATGAAATCTCATGAATTAAAAAGCATAATTTCGGATGGGAAAAGGTAAAATTAGTTCTGTAGGTAATTCCAAAATTAAACTTCTGGTAGTGTACAATAAATGAATGTCACTGGAAACAAAAAAAAAACATAAAACCATGATGCCCCATGCTAACAGTAAACGAGAGCAGTATAAACTTGCATGACATAAACAGTAACAAACAAGGGCACAAATTATAAGTCATTCCCATTTAAAAATAAAAAATTATTGCCAAACTGTTTATGTTAACACCTGTCATGTTCAAAATGAACAAAACAACAAATCCAGATTTAGAACGACACTCCCAGGTCAAAACAAAACAGATAACACGTAACAAAAATAACAAGCTTACAGCTGGTATCACAAATAATGTCCCTTAACTGAGCTAGGAAAGTTAATTATTCTCCATTCTATAAAACTTATCAACAGTGCTAGAGACAAGCTAGCAGGTTTAAACGTACAAGGAAGATGACTTCAAAAGCATAGCTTGATCAATGGTTGTAATTGAATTGACAAGGTTGTATTTGTCTTAGCAGGAGGTATGTAAGGAGAGGGACCTGACTCAACAACACAGCTGTGCCCCTCGTGTAAACACTATATATATGTGAAGACACCGCCCAGTACACCGACCCTGCTGATAAATACTGAGCCTACACATACACACACTTACAGGGGACATGCCTCAACATAGGAGCATGCTAACCTTATTTGAGCTTCAACATCACCCTCAGTTGTTTTTGTTGGTAAAGCACTAGGAGACATGTGGGGCCTTCCTGTATGCAGGATACCATCATAACAATAGACTGTGAATATTTGAGGAGACAAGGAAGATTAATATGCTAGAGACCCAAGTATCTGAGTGCATACATGTGCAACTGATTTATGTGAGACATGCAGGTAAACCAGTTTAATGTCACCAGACAAATCCTGGCTTAATTTATTTCTGGCACTTTCATGACAAATCTTTTCGGACACTTCTACGGTGTATACTTTCATGTTTAATGAATTATGACCACCATATCTGGCAGTAATATGACTGGACAACTCCAGCTAAAATCAGTGGAATGCCATGATCTTGATAATCCTTCACAACATGGTTCCAATACCATATCAGCTTTACATATCGACCTCATCCCTTTCCTGCTTCACAAATCAGGCTGAGTGAGTGCTGTTCCAGTTAGTTTTATTAGCTATATCAAAACCACATCAAAAGCAACAATCACCATCATCAGGTTACAATAAGCATGATACTGTGAAATCACACCTTGCTCTGGCCTTGCTTTGTAAAACCAGTATGGGACAGAGGGCACCTGTCTACCATCAAAACAGGAAACCTGACATAATATATAACTGCCTAACAAGCAGAAGCATCTCTAATCCTAGACTTGACACTTGATACATGCATTTGGAAATTTATGTCTGCCTTTGACAACATTTTCCGTAAAAAAATTCAGACATATAACTACGTAAAACACAGACAAACAGCCATTCCACTGATCCTCCTGTCCATCTTCAGCATGGTTAGCGGCTAACATTGTGAGATCAAGAATACAGGACATTTTACTTCCATCTTGAATTTTCATTACCTACTGAAATGGGACTGATGCCAATTTTCAGCAACTAGAATATGGCTAAGGAAGGCAGTCTGTGAGTCGAACCACAGGTTCCAATCCTAGTATTATCTGTTGTGATACACCACAAAACTCCACCCATATAGTAATAGCCTGTAAATAACTGATTCTGGACCAGACAATCCTGAGATTGAATTTTATAAAATGATCCACACCAAGGCTTCCAAGCCTGACAACTTGATCCATTTGGTAGCATTGCAGCATACACAACCAGCATAGATTGCTGGCACCGATTCTATCCAAGATTCACTACAGTGTTCAGGTTCCATCTTGTAATCTCTACCAATAACAAACCTGGCATTCATGTGAACATCTGCTGAAAATGATGCCAGGAGACAATATGGGTTCGTAGATTAAAACATTTTTGGCACAGACTGAGCAAGTAAAATCAGAACTCCTTGAAACAGATGGGGTTACCTGACACAGGTGTGTCTGGCAGACAAGCCAGTCAACGCTCGACCACCTGACCAGGTGAGTATATCAACTCTGTATCCTGTTTACCGAATGCTTCACACCTGCCCTGTGACTTCAAATAATATTAAGCATGAGAAAACTGATCGCAAGGATTTAAACATGGAGCTATTAGCAGTAATTCAACAGTGACTGCTGAGACTAAGATTTGACTCCCTACTCAGTATCAACTGATGATCAGACAAAAAATAAGGTTATACAAACTATAGTTTTTCCACACATTATCATGTTCATGTTATCATTATCCGTTTCAACCCAAGTAAAAGGACTGTGGTCCGTCCACCCATCCACAACAGTCTACATACACCAGGTATCCTTCAGACAGGTAACAGGATATTAATCATATATCATACTAATGATATTTACATTTTGTCCATGTCACAAGGGTTAAAACCATAACCATCAAGATAATTGTGTTATGTAACTATGGTAACAGAGACTTAATGCTATTTAAGGTATCTTATTCAAAATAATCAAGTTTAAACTATATTAAATCATGCTGATGACTGCTTGGTAAAAACTATAGATTTCTCATATATCAATGAATTTATCAAAGTCCAATGCCATTAGCATCGTTAGTAACTTTAATAAAGAGAAAAAACTTTGCAGCCAATATCCTAATGATGTTTCGACATCTGAGAAACATCTCAATTGCCTCTAACACTGCTTCACAGGATCACAGAAAAGACAAATCAATATTTTCAAGGTTTCATTTCCCTAATAAAAAGCTCATTGTATTGGCTGTCAATTTAAACATTTGCGTCTATCATGGCCAGATGATATATCGTTATAGTCAGTGCAGCATCAAAACAATCAATGGAGCACATTCAGTACCAACATAGACAAAGAGCGTCATCAAATAATCTATCAACTACTCCAAGATAAAACAGAAGGGTTTGGGCTGAACAATACAAAGGATAATGTGATAGAATGATCACGTGAAAAATTGATGCTTATACAAGTATTTATGCCATTGCCATGGTTACCACAAATGTCACACCATTCCATGAAGTTATCAGATTGTCTGGACCCCAAATTGATTTATTCTGATTCTCTATCCAACTGACTACACTTCTAAGGCTTATTCACAACTTTATACTAAAATCCAGTTGTGAGGCCTGAATTTAGTTTGTACAGTGGGGGAAAAGTGAGGTCTATGTTCACATACTAACAAATCAAATCCCCCCCCCGAAATCTCCTGGGAACCGTTAAGTGGAAGTCTAGGTGTTTAGTCTGGAGAGCAGTGCTAGCCTCTGCATACACAAGACACATCAGTGATCAAACAGAGTAAACTCCTCCGACCACAGTACAGATCATGAGTTACTGTCCCAGATCAGGGTCACATTTCTCTGAAATTATCTGAATGAAACAGGACATGATATAAAGATCTTGTCTGGACTCAAAATGTTTGTTTGTTGTTTAATGCTGTACTCAGCAGTATTCCATTTTATGGCAGTGGTCTGTAAATAATCAGGACAAGACAATCCAGTGATCAACATCATGAGCATCAATCTATATAGTGTCAACTTAGTGTCCTGTGTTAACCATCAGGTCTGACTACCTGATCCCAATAGTCGCCTCTTACTACAAGCATGGGTTGCCAAAGATAAATTCTAACACAGATCTTCACAGGTCCTTTAAATAGGTGAAACAAAATGCTGAAAACCAGTCACCGTTAAAATGCTAAAAAGATATGGACTAGTTAAGAACACAATGTTTTCATATTACTACCCTTAATTTGTCATGTCATGGCTGAGTGGAAAATTATGTTGGACACGACATGCTGCATGTGTCAGGCAAAGACCGAGAACTGCCACAATGACATCTGTGATTTAGTCACCATTAACTGGGTATTATAAATGGTCATCTCACCAGTTGTGACCTCTTACATGCTCTTTGTCCAGCATCTGACCTTCACAGCATAGCAGACAGAACACCTCCCTTAATGCACCATACTAAAAGATGTTAAAAGATGGTACTTGCTTTTTCCCTGCCTCAAGCACAGTTTCCATAGATAGACTGACTGAGTTTGCTTTTACGCCGCTTTTAGCAATATTCCAGCAACATCACGGCAGGGGACACCAGAAATGGGCTTCACACAATGTACCCATGTGGGGATTCGAACCCGGGTCTCCGGCATGATGAGACAACGATTTAACCACTAGGCTACCCCATCGCCCTCCATAGATAGAGCAAAGACTGACAGTCTGCATAATGTGTCACACTGTGGTAGCTACGTTAAATTGCATCTGCCTAGCACTATAAACTTGCATATGTCTAGACAAGTACAAACAGCCACACAAATGCATGTCAGCAAACATAAACCCAATTTCACCCTGCCTCATGACAGTAAAAGTAGGATAAGGCTCAGGAAATGTTCCAGTTTCATTGGGGAGTTTTATATAAAAGTAACTGAAATGTTGAGTCAAATGCATCAATTTCATTACTGAGTATTTCAATCTATCAGATCATAAGAAGCCATGGTCAAAGACAAAGTTTCACATGGCACTTAACATTATTTGGATAGGTACCAAATAGTTCATCTCCCTTCTCTATCTGCAAGCCCAGTGTATTGGAGGTGTTCTGATTAATTGAAATAATCAAAGACTGGTCGCAGTGACCAAACTACAAAGCAATCTATCACATTTTCTCATAATCGAACACAACCGATTTTGGAAATACTGTTTTAGTCTTTGAAACACTTAACGATGGAACATATCTGGGAAGTTGTAAGGGTCTGAAAACATGTTTAATTCTTAAACTATTCACTTCACTTACTGAAAAGTCATGACTGAATATTTCTTGAAGAATCCCCTTCAATCCAGAAAGTTTA